AAAGTTCAGACGCGTTTTATTTCGTTTTTTTTCGGTGGTGACGGCAAAAATTGAGAAACGTCTCAATTTTACGGGCTACAATTTTCTCAGAAGTGGGATTAGTATCCGCGAGTGTTTCTGTTGAAATGTCGGACGACGAATTTCACGGATTCGATGAGGACGAGTTGGTGCAGCGAGATGAAAATCAAGGAGGACAACATGGCGGCGGCGGTGTTTTGGGCGGAGCAAGCAGCGGAAACGGTGCAAGCGGTGCGCGTGGTGCGCAAACGGGCGAGCGGGAGCTGCTGACGCTGATGAGGCGATTGTTGTTTATTCGTGACGTGGCAGTGCAGCCGAATAATCAGGAACATCGAGAAAGACAGTTGCACCCGGATGAAGTCAGTAAATTGATTCCAACGTTTTCAAGTGGAAGAGATGTCAGGAAATGGTGCTCCAATGTCAACCATTTCAAAACCTTGTATCACTGGACAGAACAAACGACGCTGATTTATGCTTCTTGTCGTTTGGAAGGAGCAGCTAGACAATGGTATCACAGTGCGCAAATGGGGATTGCAAATTGGGCGCAGTTTCAGCAGAAAATTCAAGTGGCATTTCCGGATAGCGAAAACGAAGCGGAGGTTCATTTGTCGTTATCCAACGTCGTGAAATCAAGGGATGAAACTTATGAACATTTCGTTTTTCGAGTTGAAGCAATGGCGGCCCGTATACAGATGAGTGAAAGAGCAAGGGTGACATACATCGTCAGAGGACTTTCGTTGGATCCAATTTACGATCAAATCTCCGCCAGTAACTTCGACAACAGCCTGGACTTACTCAACCATATCCGTTTGTGCGAAGCGAACAACAACATGAAGCGTAAACGTCAACCAGTGGGTATTGTCAACAGGATCAACCAAAAGCAGCCAGATCAACCACCACGGATGGACGATCTACACCTCAACAGGAAATGCTTCAATTGTAACAAGATGGGTCATTTGTCAATTAATTGCTCTCAACCACAGCGAATGATCCGTTGCACGAAATGTCAGCGAATTGGACATGACGAATCAAAATGCGAACAAGCACTAACTCAACATTGTCAGAAGGAGACTGGACACGATCAGCAGCAGCGTCACCAGATACAATCACGACAGCGATATGTACATCTAGCAGAAACGGCGGATGAGCGGCCACCGGCTGAGTTCGAAATTGATGAAAACGGTCGGTTCCAAGCGAATGTAGCAGATCAGTTCGAGACAGAACTGCTACTTGACACTGGTAGTGAGGTGAGTCTGTTGAAGAAGAAATTTGTTCCACATGGGGCAAATTTGCACTCGGTGCATTTTGACAATTTGATGATAGTAGGATTGAATAATGTGCCGGTTATGGCAGATTGTATCTATAAAACCAATATTATTTGCAAGTCGGTTAGCTACGAGGTGGATTTCTTGGTGGTTTCAGATAATACGATGAATGTTAATGGATTGGTAGGCCGGAAATTTTTGAAAAATAACGACATTGAGAAAGTTAAGATGCTGTCTCGATCCACGATAACTTCTTCTAACAGTTATGACTGTCAGATGATGTCAGAAGTTTATGGACCTATACGAAACGATTGTGATCTTATTGGACTTAACAATGACGAGTTGTGTCTAGATATTGGGGACAACGTGGAAACATTTTCTATGATCAAGGATGTAACGAAACTGTTTAAAACAGAATATTTAAATCGAGCTCGACCATTGTCTCCATTAGTGTCGTATTCGTTTGGAGTCAAGCTGAAAGAAGATAAAGTCTATCATGCTTCACCTCAGCGACTGTCGGTCTTCGAACGGAATGAGCTTGATAAGATGATCAATGAACTTTTGAATTCTGGTGTGATAAGGGAAAGTAACTCTCCTTATTCTAGCAAGGTGGTTTTGACTAAGAAGAAAAATGGCACCTTTCGTCTATGTGTCAATTTTCGAGCTTTGAATAAATTGGTTGAGCGTGATCATTTTCCAATCCCTGTGATTGAGGACCAAATTATGAAACTTGAAGATAAACGGTATTTTACTTCGCTGGATTTGAAAAACGGCTTTCACCACGTTGAAATTGATGAAGATTCACGTAAATATTTTTCGTTCGTAGTCGAAAATGGACAGTACGAATACACTCGTATGCCATTCGGGTATTGTAATGCTCCCGAGATATTTGTAAAATACATGAACCAAATGCTTTCCGAACTAATTAAGTCTGGATATGTAATTGTTTTCTTCGACGATATACTGATTGCTACATCTACAATCGAAGAACATATTAAAGTGCTCTTGACGTTGTTGCGTGTTCTTTCCGATAATCATGTGCAGCTAAATTTGTCTAAATGCCATTTCCTAAAAACTCGGATTGAATATCTGGGGTACGATGTGACTTTTAATCAGATTCAGCCATCCGATCGGCACGTTGCTGCAATCAGAGAATTTCCGTTTCCGGATTCTCTACGGGCTGTACAACGCTTTATAGGACTGGTCAGCTATTTTCGGAAGTTTATTCCTGATTTCAACAAAATTGCTAATCCATTGTATGATTTAATCAAAAAGGATGAGCCATTCGTGTTCGATCAAACCCACAAAGAATCTTTTGAAGCTTTATGCAAGATTCTATCATCGAAACCTGTACTTGGAATTTATTCATCTACAGCAGAAACGCAGCTACACACCGATGCCTCGTCATATGGTTTTGGGGGAATTCTTTTGCAGAAAAGAAAAGAAGATAAATACTTCCGCCCGGTGATGTATTTTAGCAAAAAATCTTCTCCAGCTGAAAGAAAGCTTCATTCTTTCGAACTTGAAACACTGGCCATAGTATACAGTCTTAAGCGCTTCCGTAACTATTTATTTGGTCTACATTTCCAGATCGTTACAGACTGTAGTGCATTGCAGTTGACATTAAATAAGAAAGATTTGAATCCTAAAATTTCGAAATGGGCTTTATACATAGAGCAGTTTGATTTTGAAATCATTCATCGATCTGGGGATAAAATGAAGCATGTCGATGCATTATCGCGGGTACACGTTTATGCTTTGGAGGACTGTCAATTAGGTGGATTTGGAGTCGAGGAAAGTGCCCTATATGTGAATCAGTTACAGGATGGGAACGTTCAGAAGATAAAACAGGCAGTAGAAGAAGGTAAAAACGAAAGTTTCACAGTAATTGATCAGATTGTCTATAAGAAGAGTGGTAGAAGAAATCTTCTTTATGTTCCTCGAATTATGGAAACTTCCGTTATGTTCAAGTACCATAATGAATTGGGTCATTTTGGAGTGGACAAGGTTGCTGAAATGATCAAGCGAAACTTTTACATTCCTAACTTGACAGAAAAGTTGAAGAAGCATATAAGTGAATGCATTACATGCATAAGCTATAATCCTAAGCAAAGGAAAACTGATGGATTTTTGCATATTTATGAAAAACCTGATAAGCCTTTCCAGACCATTCATATCGATCATCTGGGGCCATTGGAGAAAACAAAAGGGAAAAATTTGCATATATTAGCTGTCTGTGATGGGTGTACCAAGTTCTTGAAGTTATATGCTGTGAAGTCAACAGGTACTAAGGAGGTGATGAAGTGTCTTAAATCGTATTTCATGGCATATTCTGTCCCTAAGGTTATAGTATCTGATCGGGGCTCCGCATTTACCTCAAATGAATTCGATTCGTTCGTACGGGATCATGGCTTTTATCACGTACAAGTGGCAACCGCTTGTCCGAAGGCTAACGGACAAATTGAACGATACAATCGAACCCTTATACCCCTACTGGCAAAGCTATCGGATGAAGGCAAAGCACAATGGGATAATGTTTTGTACAAAGCAGAATATCTGTTGAACAACACTTACAATCGAGCGATTGCTGACGTGCCATCGCGAGTTTTATTCGGCGTGGCTCAAAAGTTAAAAGTAGATCAACGCTTATTGGAGTACATGCAAGATATGAATGATTGTGAGGAACGCAATCTGGATGAAATTAGACAAAGATCTTCGGACAACGTGAAGCGCCTTCAAGAATATAATAAAAAGTATTATGACAGCAAAGTGACGGCTAATTCTGTTTATAGGGTTGGTGATTTGGTAATGATTCGTAATGTGGGGACGGTAGGAGAGAGCCAAAAGCTTAAGCCGAAGTACAAAGGTCCGTATGTGGTCAAGAAGGTGTTAGATCATAATCGGTACGTCATTACTGATATTGACAGATTTCAGGTGTCAAATCGTCCATTCACTGGGATTTTTGATCCAACCACAATGAAACTTTACCAGAAATCCAGCTCGAGTGATGGTTAGGGAATAGTTGATAATAAGAATCAATAATTTAAGTTTTTTTTTAAATTGCAGGGAACATTTTAACCGACATTCTGAGCGATAAATAGAAGAACATAATAACATATTTTTGTAACACTTCCTTCCTTCCTTTCCTAGAACAAAAAAAAAAAATGTCAATCACTAACCTCGTGCCACCGAGTAAACGGTCCACCCTATACTAACTTTAATTTTAAGTTTACTTTAAAACTGTTATAGAAAAAAAAAAAATAAACGTCTATTGAGGACAATTAGCCAGGATGGCCGAGCTGTAGGCCAAAACTAATAACCCCAAGACTACTTAGCATAGATCAACTATATTTTATCCACAACGAATTAATGTACATCCCTACCACTATCTACGAAATGTGTAAACTGTGTAGATTTCGAACGAACTGAAAAAACTCTCCAAACTCAGACAATAAAACATTCCATACTTCCGCTTTGCAAAGTTCAGACGCGTTTTATTTCGTTTTTTTTCGGTGGTGACGGCAAAAATTGAGAAACGTCTCAATTTTACGGGCTACACATATATACAGACCCCAGAAGTGGAAACAATGAATGTGAAAAATATTCCTGGGATTCGAATAACCGATATAAATTAAAAAAGAAGAGATGAACCAGCCTCTGGCTGAAAGTCTCGCTAATAAAGATAACCTAACCTAACCGATCTAAATTAGAAAATACCTGAGGTACTACGTCGCATATGGTGTTGTATGATTGCCTTTGCTGTATCTTGATATTGTTTAGGAAGATTAGCTAAAGTCATTGTCATCTAAAAAGATAAGAAAAAAATCTAAAATATAAAAAACAAAACGTTTCACTTATATGAAGTTATCTTACCTGTGATGGATTGCAGTTATACAATGCTACGATGCATGATCGTGCTTGTGACTTCAATTCAAGACTTTTTTGGTCCAACGAAGTTTGAACAATTTTTAATATTGCTCTATCAACTAACTGTTGAGTTTGGCTATGTGTTACAAACTGTGCAGCGGTGCAATATGTAGTAGCGAGTGTAGTCAAAAATTTCAACGTTGCTTGTCGTGTTTTGATATTTGGTGTTTGAGCAGCATCAATAAGAATCCTTAAAATCAGGATGATTCATTATTCGGTAAATACAGAAATATAACCCGCGATATTTTACCTGAAGACACACTGCATTTGAAGATCTGCTGGAAAGTACTCGTAAATCAACTGTAACGTTTTCCAAATTTTCCCATGCATAGAACCCAACAAATCACCGCCTAACTTTTGAAACAACCTTGTAAGCAGAATGAACAACCAATCGTGTAAATCATTCGAATGCGAAAGAATGAGTTCGTTGACAGTATCCAAAAACAGAGCATAGACTTTAATGTGTGGATCCATGAACATTTTTCTGAACAAATCAAGAACACACTGAAAAAAAGAAGTAATGTTTTAAAGCAATTCTAATTAATACATAATTCATGTCGAAATAGCAAAAAAAAAATCCATTGTGGTACATTGACCGATTTTCTTCGTCAATTTTCTCTTTCGTTAAGAACCCAACCAGGAAAACGTTTCCTTGTGTTTGTCCTTTAAGGGTTTCTGAGTTACCTGACTTGTAACGAATATACGTAGTATCCGAGGGATCGTATATTTAATTCTGAAAGCCTTATAAATAAAGGAAAAAAATCATTTTGCTATGAAAAATTAGGCGAGCTATACGATCCTGCGGATACAACGTATAACGTATTAAGTCGGTTAACCAGTAGATAATACCTAGGCTAGAAACTACCGATAGTCCAGTAACTAAAAGCGCTACATGTAAGTTGAGAACAAATATAAGTTGCTGTTGGGTGGTCATATGGCAAGAAAATAATAAATAATAAAGATTGACACCGTCTTCAACCAGAGGTTGTACAGACTAAACCCTTAAGGTTCAGTTTACTTTGATACATTTTCGAAAAATTCGAAAACAGTTTTTTTTTCAACGCAAAGGGAAAAGAATGACGCGAGCTTTTTTGCAATCTACTTTTGAATTTTTCGAAAATACATCAAATAAATTGAACCTTGATAACGGACAACACAATACCCAGTAGTAGTAGTAAAATTTCCAGGTTGGGAAAGTTCCACCGGCTGGACGAAACCGAAGCGACTACGAAGCCCAACAGTGTGATTAAATAGCCGAAAATGTCTTCATAATAGGGTTATTCACTGAGCATCGTAAACATATACACTATCGTAAAAATACCAGGGTTCATTGGAGTGTAATGGAAGTTTACACATTTACTAGGATGCATACGTTATGCGCTTTGTGAATACCCCTAATGTAAAAAGATTATACCACCGTCCGTCGCAATTGAAAGAGAAAATCAATGAAGAGAAAAGATCTATGTATAAAAGGGTGTCCCAAAATAGCCTCTTTGTCATGAAACCTTAGGGCTCAATCTCCAAATAATAGCTTGAAGGGCTACAGAAAAATTGTATCAAGGCAACTCTGAGAAATATTGTTAGAGACACCCTAATATATAACTATAAAGCAATGCTCCTTATGCAGAGATTTGGTCAAATACTACATACTTGAAGTTGTTGTGAAGTTAACATTTTCCCCTCACTCAGATATTGTGTAAGGTTGATAAGGCCATCTTTTCGCTCAGACCAATGAGTGGATGCACAGAATTGAATTATAGTATCGATGTCCTCAATCATGGTCCTCGAACTATCAAGACGCGTTCGTGATCCGTTCCACGAGTATGACTAAAAAATAAAAGCAGTTGATTTATTATGAATACAATGATGGCGCTAGCTTTTTTATATGCTAATAATGCTCGGGTTCAGTCTTAATGGTAAACTAAATTATAAGTATGTATACCTGGGGAGAAGTACAAATAAGACAATTATGTATGATTTTATGTGTATTCAAAGGATGTCATTGATTTGAATGTACAACATTTCAAAAGGGCGTAATTGCTTTTGAAAACAATGGATTGAGCTATCGCTGCTAGCTGGTAAAGGAAACATTCATCTACCTGCTGGTGTCATTAATCTTCATGAGTAAACTTTTATTCGCGAGAAATCGATGGCTAAAGCCATTGTTTACAAATGCAATTACGCCCCTTTGAAATGTTGACAATGAAATGTCTAATTTCTAGTCAATGACAAGTGACATTGGAGCATTTCGGAGTTGGAGGTAGTTATAAACAAATCACCAAACCTAAAACTAAGTAGTAATAGTGTTTACGGTTTTGAATATCCATATTGCCAGAATTAGGTGAAAAGATCAAGAACTTGTCAACAGGAGAATAACAATAAAAAAATCCGATTAACTTATCAAAAATGTTGGTACCGACTGTTAGTATGGTATGTGTTTAAAACGGGTCTTGTTCGTTTGGCATAATTTCTATTACTCGACATATTTTTTAAACCAATAACTTTTCAATCTATGATTATTCCTCCTTTTAATTTTTGCTTGTTCTTTTATAATACCTATCCATGTTCTTCTGGGGTAATTAAAGGCTGCTCACGTCTGAAAGAAGGAAAAATTTGCTACAGCAACGGAGCCGCATGCTTTGAAAAAAAAAAACAATTGATTTAAATTAGGAAACATTTTTTTTCTTTTTTATGCATTAACTGCTCTAAATAGGTGGCATCAATCCTCTTCTTGTGCTCCTCGATCAATGCACATCATTCTTCCGGATCTTTTACCCAAAAATATTCTAAGCGCTCACGCACAACACATGTACTATATATTCAAATAAGTGAGTATTTTCTTTACTAAATATTTTAATTTTTTTTTAGTTCTTTATTAAGGAGATTTTTAGCCTATGACTAGTTCATCTCCGAAATATTTGATTTTTGATATTTGATGAAAGAAGCATTCACTTCTTTACGATACATTCAAATAATGGAATGCTCCCTACTTTATTAAATATTCGAAGTAGGAAATATTTAAACAATAATAATCTTATGCGAAAGAAGAGCAGCAATGAAAAGAAGGAGTAATCATTGATTGTAAATTCAGCACTGGCCGAGATAATGATGGGAGCCAAGTTCACCTGTCACTCGCTGGATTTAATCGAGCATAACTGTATCAATGATCGTGACGATAATTAAAACGAACAAAAAGGAAATCATTTCGGTAGTAATTTATCAATACAATTCTGAACGCTAATTTTACGTTTTTAACGCAGAACATCGACCCGACGGCGTGTAGACAATAAGCAATATACCATCAATGAACCAGCCTCCGCTCATGCCCCATATACCGCTACTTTTGTAAATAAAGGTTATTTTTTAGATCAATTGCAATAGGTTTATAAATTTGTAAGCCCGGTAAAACCCTTTAACTTTCATTGATTATTATTAATTTTGCTGAAAAAATGTCTAATTACCGAAAAACATCTTTTCCAGTTGCATGATCGACGAAAATGTCAGACGTCACGCGTTGTTATTGTTTTGTCTAAGGTGTCGGCGTTTGAAATTTAAGTTTTTTGGCTCAAAACAGCATAGGTGGGTAAATTTGAATGTAGTATGCATGCTTCAAACAAAGTTTCTTGAGAGCCACAGCACTTTTACTTGTTTCTGAACCAAAAATGTATTTAGCGGTTTTTTGATACACTGCAAATGTGATGAGTACCAGTTTCCGCTCATTACAACATCCTTAAACTTTGGTCGTGTTTAGGAACTGTAAAGGGCTTGTTCCGTGCGAAACAAGCTATAGTAGCTTCCAAAACACAACGCAAACGATCGTCATTCAAACCACCCATCGTGGCAACAACGCTCTCCAGGTAGAATTTTAAGGACACCGAACGAGAAGGGAGAAGCACTATATACTTCTCTTCAACATGCTGCTGCCTGCTGCTCGCCGTAGCGCACGGCAGGCAAGTATATAGGACCAAAAGTAGCAAAATACGATAGGACTACTGCTATAAAAGCGACACAGCCAGCCAGCGTTTTTTTTTTGAGTATTATTCCGACCACCATCCAAGTTACATCCAGTGAAGTAAGAAAGCAATCTGTAGAGAAATAGTGAACTAGTTAGAATAAAAGTAGGGATAAGGTGATAATTTGATTAGTGTGTTGAATCTTTCAATCCGAACGAAATACAGTCCACTTCCAACCCACCGGAGTTGGCCACGGTAAACGCGCCAACAGGGCTGTTCACATACCATGTGGACAGCTTTTGAGAGGTTTTAGACCAAACAACGCCATGCGTGGACAATCATGCATACATGTTTTAGAAATTTGTATGGACCATGGATTTGCCCCTCTCTCCTAAAGTATCTTCGTTGTATATAAATAGCAGTGCTCGGAAAAACTCAAAAACTCAAATCTCATGCAAGAATTTTTTTTTGCCTATGAGTTTTGCCTTCCATAATTCAACGTCGCTAAAACCCAGCGGCGCCGGTGGTGTAGTGGTAAGCGTGATTGTCTCTCACCCCAACAGGCGTGGGTTCAATCCCAGTCAGCGCCGCCGGGATGTTCTGAGGCATAACATCTCTGATCACTAGACTGATGCAAAATTTGACTTTTTCGCTCCACAGTGCTTAAATGGTTTCAAATCGGGTCCTATTTAGCCTCCCAAAGTTACAACTCATTTGGTTAGAAACAGACTTCGCACAAGCCATTTGAAGTTTACATGTAAATTACTATGGGAAATCTCAACTTTTTGTTCATTACCTTCTAGTCTTTTTCCATATTGAGCTGCGAAACAGTTCGATAGCCATTCTTATATAAAATTTTCTCAGCTACAACATTGCTGAAGATCGTTTCTATGTAAAACGAGACAGGAAAAAGTTATTAATTATTTAAGAGATTGGTAAACTTATGACATGATCAAGCAGCTGCTCTGTAGGCAACACTGTATTTTGCAGTGTGACATAGTAGCCATGATTTTTGTGTCCTATTCAACGCCCCAGAAACACCAATGTTGCCTGTTGAGCAGTTGATTGAGCATGATCATAAGACATCAGTGCATTGAACCATTGATAACTTTCGATCCTTGCATTTAATCAAAAAGTGGTCTTGAGCAAAGTTGTAGCTGGGAAAATTTCCTACAAGTACAGTTGAAAGTTTTTGAAGCAGACCGATATGGTGAATTATTAGAGAGACATGAACAAAAATCTTGGTTTTATCATAGTAATTCCCATACAAACTTCAAATGGTTTGTGCCATCTCAGTTTCTCACCAAATGAGTTCAAATTTTGAGAGGTTAGTCAGGATCCGATTTGGAATCGTTTAAGTATTGTGGAGCGAAAATTTCAAATTTTGCATCACTCTACTGATCACGCCTTCCTTCGAAAGGGAAGTAAAGCAGTTGGTCCCCGGTTCATGAGTTTGATGGGTCGATAGATAGGGTCCAGGTGTGGGAGCTGCCTCCCTGGCGTCGGTGGCATTAGTGCTCAGCACGGAAAACAAATCAAGGAAGAAGAAAAAACCTCGCTAAAATCACCGATGAGTTTTCAGGTTCAAAAATTAATTTCTTTATATGTCGGCGCTATGAATTGTTATTACTGGGTTGGAAAACTAACAACATACATAAGCATGCTATCAATTGACGTTTGAGTGGTTTTTATGAGTTTAAAGCTAAAAAGATTTTTCGGCGTTGTGCGTGTGAGTGCGTGAATATTTATGAGATTCTCTAGCGTCCATTTTATTTGCCGCATTCGCACGCGAGTTTATTCTCGCGAATGAGCTTTGAGAATGATTTTCCGAAAACTGATAAACAGTCTCAAAGAAAATATATATAGCGCAAAGGCAATCTATATTGTAGTGCACGCTGCAAAACTTCCAGAACTTTGAGAGATAAATTATTGGGTAAATATTGAAAACATTGTAGTGAAAATCCTGGTTCATTGACTGTTTCAATGCCAGATGAAGAAGTTTGAATTGTGAGTTGGATGAATAATGCCACTCGCACAGTTAAGCATCCTAAACTGAACATTACTCGAAGCATAAAAAAAGTTCTGGAAAAACAACAATCTTCGAACATAAGTTGAAAAAAATAACTATTAAAAGAACAATTGTATCGTTAATGTTACGTTAATATGTATAATAAAATTAACTGCTACTGAACCCGTTAACTGTTGTTCCGTTCAAAACAATGTCTATACAATTAGAGATGAACTAGCCTAAGGCTAAAATCTCTTTAATAAAGCCTTAAAAAAAATGTCTATACAATATAAACACAATTAGAATCTAATAAAAATGACCGTTAATTAGAACACCTCATCAAAACGTGAGCGGTAATTGGTACATGTGACTGAATTTAGATTCAATTTTTATAAATATTGTTTTGCTGTTTAAAATTTATTTTCTTTTTCCCTCGTATAGCGTATAAGTTACCCTAACGAATGATGAAAAAACATAAACCAAAAACAATGTTGGGCTTTTCCAGCGTTTTTCTTTTACTTTAACATTGCCTTAAATGAGCGAAAATTAGTACTCTGATGGTACTTTTCGATAGTTTTTTAACGGATGGAATAGTAATTTGGCAAATGCATTGCAGATATGCGTTGAAAAGTATAAGTTGATCGATATTCTTTTCTCTCCATCTCCGCATAACATTTTAAACAATGATATTGATACTGCACACATGAAAAATGTGTATGTTGCGTAAAACGAAAACGTTCTGCAAAAGCTTGAGCATTTTCACGTGGTGCAAGATTTTAATTGATGAAATCAAATTTATCAGTTTGCAGGATTGTTTATCCACAAGACTATAAATATAGTGACTATAAATATAGTGACTATGAATATAGTAACTATAAATTATATGTTTCTTAGTTTTAAAATTTATTTAATCATTTCTTTATATACGTGTTCATTTAGAAACCGGTGCTGAGTAAGACACGCTTGCTTCATAACTAATACTTTTCTAACGAAATGAACATCATCACATATAAGCATACGTACATCATTTCCTCTTCTATACGAGTCAAAACTTCTCTCTGAACAAACAGACGAAGCTTCACTTTCATCAGATTCGTCTCGTGATATTTTTCTATGCAATCCTAAACGAGAAAAATCTGATGACAGATCATGATCATCTGGTGAAAGTGCATCTGCTAAAGCATTTTCAGCTTCTCTGCTTTGTTGTAGTATTTTTTGCGCTAAGACAGGCCGTCCCGGATTCACTGGTGGTCGATCCAATCTTCTAGGACTGTTTGTTCCATATGCGTTACGGCGTAGTGATCCGAATTGTGTTCCTCTGTAAGATAAAACAAAAATCAAATTGGTGGGTAATGAGTGGGTGCGGGGAGACTCAGTGCAATGCGCTGTCTTCAATAGGATAACCGTAAACACAAGCAACATGAGTAGACAAAATTAGTAACATCAAAACATTATATTTTGCTTTCAATTCATAGAGGAGGACAATAGGAGGGTTGTTCATAATAAACGGAAACAAATTTAAAGAGGAGACAGACACAGGCTGCCTATAATCGCAATTTTCATTCCCGACTCCACGGAGTTCTAAAACATTTTATAATTACAATAATATATTAATGAGGGATCACCCCAGCAGGCCTGGGTTCAATACCAGTCGGCACCGCCGGGATGTTCTGAGGCATAACATCTCTGATAACACCTTCCTTCGGGGAGTTGATGGGTCAATAGGTAGGGTCCAGGTGTGGGAGCTGCCTCCTTGGCGTCGGTAGCATTGGTTCTCAGCACGGAATACAAGATCGACGGAAAACAAATCAAGGAAAAACATATTAATGAGGGACATTGCTTTTGCTGATAAATTCGCTAGAAAATTTCTGATTTGATTTGCGATTTGCAGCTGCGGACAAAAAAAACTCAAGTTTTTGTTACAAATGAGTCAATTAACTCGAAGCTCTACAAGAAAGAGTGCTTGAAAAAACGCATTCTATCATTCATCAAAGCAACATTGACAACAGGGTGGATTTCATCGAAAAAGACCTCAACCCACCCAATTGCCCTCAATTTCGCCCAATTGAGCAATTGGGCAATTGTTCAGCGGAAGCTGAAAAAGAATGGAAAAGTGACTCGGTATGCTGCAGAGATGAAGAAATGGTGGAATAAAATAGCCGCTCAAGTTGACGAACAGAGTGTCCAAAAGATGATGCGAGGTTTTCAAGAAAAGTTCGTCATTTCATAAAAATCAAATCGGAATCTCTAAGACTGTTGATATTTTTTGAAAGTGCAATAAAAAACATTTATTTTGACTGCTCAACTGTTTTATTTCATCAAAACAATCCCGAAATAGAGCTGATTTCTTACGTCCAGATCTTAAATGAATCGAGCTTTAGGGTCCCCGAAACATGTCCGAATGTATCCAATCCTTAGAAATGGAAAATCATTTACATTAATTTAGTGCATTCATTTACATTCATTTGCCTCTATCTTTATTCATCAACAGAATTCCGTAAAATGATGTATGAAGCTTTTGTAGGTTTGCAAATAAGCTACAACTTTTGTAAATAGAACATTCGAACAGAGCCCACCATTGTTTTACAGTGAATGTGAATTACGTTCACTGAAAACCAATAACAAGTTCTGTCCGCTCTAGTTCGTCATGCATATGAGATATAGATTTGAGTTAATGACTAAAGTTGTTACTAATATCCCAAACTATTAAAACTTAATACATCATTTTACAAAATTCTGTTGATGAAAAAAGTTAGAAGCAAATGAATATAAATGGATGCACGAAATGAATGTAAATGATTTTTCATGCCTGGTCCTGAGCACTTTATATACCTATCCACCCTCGTATCCACAATTTAACTTGTTTTTTAATTACCATGTGTTTTGAAGTGTCGCCGGGTTTCGGTCGAAGTCAGAAACTGGCCACTTACCCTGAGGTACCCAAGCAAGCACGCGAACAGACCTAATGAATATAAAAATATCAGTGCTGTTAGTAGCACGGAATTTCTATTCCCCAGTCTGTGTTTACAATACCGTCTGTAGTTATAACCCGAAGATCTATTTTTGTAAGATTAAGTAAAGTCCGGACTTTTACTGCACTCGGTCTAATAAATTTCTGTATCCATGGCGTTCCAGTTGGATTCTACCATAGACGTTTCCTATGTTTTTAGTTCTATCCTTAGAGGGCACTCTTAGAGATGAACTAGTCTTCGTCTAAAAATCTCTTAAATAAAGATTTAAAAAGAAAAAAAAATAAAAGGGCACTCAAGGACTCCCCAAAATCCATCCGACCGATGGGATGGTCGCTTTTTAGTGACTTTTTCATTACTTTTTAATATTGAATGCTTACGTTAAATCCAATTGAATTTCAGTTAACCCACAGCTAAAAATCTCTATAATAAAGAAATAAAAAAAATCAGTTAACCCATCTTAAAATAGATAGTTTGTGCTATTAATCTCCAAATAAAAAATAATTTTCGCACTGCAGAGCACAGAGCGTGGCTCTACGGTGCGGAAATTTTGCATTTTAAATTAGGGTGCGGAAATTAATAGCATTAAACCAAATATGCTACATTAACAATATATTTTACACTTAGATTTTCAATACATCACGTAAGGAACAGAAACTTCCTGTTCGAAACACACCCTAACGTCAGAAAAGGCAAACAATATGCATATGATTACAGTCGAGCTGTGAGTGAGCTAAAACTGTTACGCATGAAAAATATAATTTTATTACATTAATTATAATCAGGGAAAAAAGTTTTGAACATTGCTTAAATCTGTAGATGTCTATGGGATCACGAAAATAATTGTTTAAATTTGTTTTTATTTAATTGAAATTGTTTAAACAAGTTTTGACTTAAACTTCTGCTGTAGCTTTGAAGCATCCCACGTAATATTTATATAATACATTAGTAGCCACTTCTGGTGTAAAGACGCACTTGTTGGCCGAACATCGTGTCTCCGAAAAATATGTTAACATAATATATTTGATTAAATTTTTTACGATGGGTTAACTTAAAATTTAACTGGATTTTACGTTAGAGCATTTCCAGCCCAAAACGCAAACTGGTTGGTCATGAGTGTTTCCGATTTGAATGAAACATTTCTCACGTGTTCGCTGCTACTAATGGTTGCATTTTTCATTTAAATATGATTTTTTCCTCCAGAGTAACTTTTGAAAAGGGCGTATAAAAAATGGATTATTTTTTTTTTCGAAAAAATCATAACTTGAAAACTATTGATCTGATCAAAATGACATATCAGAAGAAGTTTTAGGTAGTTAAATTATCTTTGCGGAAAAAAAACACTGAAAGAAAAACTTAGTAAATTAGTATTTAAAAAACGTAAAACGATGATTATCTCAAAACACCCCCCCTTCGAACTTTATATTTTTTTTTGCAAGAAAACTGAAAAAATGCACTAATATTTGGTAAAGAGTGTATGCTGGTAACTTTCTTTAAAAAAAATCTATAGTTTTTGAAATTTTAGTTGGTTTTTACAAGTTGGTGAAATTGCACATTTTTTAGTAAAATAGTAATTTATTTGGATTCTACGCATAATTGTCAAAAACTTTGCATATAGAAACTTTTTTCCTAAGTCCAGCCGTTCTCAAGTTAATGCAATTTAAAAAAATAATTATAATAATTTTCTACATTTTGGGCCATTTTCAAATGTTAGTCGTGATGTCCAGCAACGAGATGTTTTTCCATGAATATATATTAAAAAACAAACAATTCATTCTCAAATATGGTAGCTGTCAGACTTACCCGTTTCTATTTAGACGCAGCAGAAAAGAAACAAGTTTATAAGTAAATACTCTCAAATATACCCAAATAATCAACAAACCCACTCATGTGCCTTTTTTCTGTCCTCTATTAGTTGTATACCTGGATAGAATTGTGTATGTCATAACAGAGGCTCAAAACATAAACAGGTAAACAAATATGTTATTAAACCTGTAATTGAGATAAATTCTCTAGGTACTTCTCTGACGTATACCATATTGTGCCTTAAGAGCTCATCCCGCGATATCACAACTACATAAAAAGGCACCCCGTGGAGGCTTCTTACACTCACACTTAAAAAAGTTTGCTATAATCAATTGTACCTAATGAAGATAGGTATAATGTCAACATTGTAATTATTCTGCTACATATATATATATACATATATTGGGACGTTCTTCACCTGTTCTGTATCCGCTGATTTGCCGCAGATCCCGCCTCTCAAGGGTGAAAAAACTGGCTGTCTACAAACAAATCATAGCACCTGCGATCCTCTATGCAGCTCCCCTGTGGGAATCATGTGCACAGACTCACAGGAACAAAATCCAAATCACTCAGAATAGAGTGCTGAGGATGGTTCTTGATCGTCCTTTCGACACTAGAATAACAAATTTACATGAAGAGGCAGGCATTGCCAAAATAGATTCCCGAATTAACGAAATTAAGACTAAATTTGCACAAAAATGTATTTTATCAGAACATGTATATAGTAGTTGTAGGTTAGTTGTAGTTGTAAATAGTAGTTATAAGTAGTCTCCTTTTTTCAAATTTTAAACAAACCAATCCCACCAAGGTTGTCATTCTTAAAACAGGCCTGATAGGACTAAAAACTGTAATTAATAATAATTTTAATTGAAAAGGAACTAAAGCTGAAAAGACGCATCTGTGTCACTTGATAAGGTATACATGTAAACCACACAATACATGAAATAAAGATCATTTAAGGCAAGTTCTTCACCTGTTCCATTCAGTTCATCTCTCTTAGCGTTTCAAGTTAAAAAGCAAGTAGTTTTTTACGATGGATAACAATTTCAAGTGTTGTAAACCTCTACCTAAATCAATTTCAAAGCATGACACAGTAGCAGTTCAGTTGTTTATCTCAAAATTATTAGAATTTTTAAAGTCGCAAATAACAGTCCAAAAGTGTATTTTTATGTTAGATAGAGCAGCATCACAATACAAAAACATAAAAAAATTTGCTAGCCTTTGTGGATTTAAAGATAAGCATAATATAGAAATGGAATGGCTTTTTTTTGCAACTTCACACGGCAAAGGTCCTTGTGATGCGATTGGCGGTACCCTTAAGAGAATGGCAACCAGAGCAAGTTTAGCTAAGCAACACGAGCACCCTATAACGAACCCTAAACAACTGTACGACTGGGCAAATAGGCGTAAAGAAGATCTTCAAACAAAAATGTCATTTTGTTATGTTTCTACGGAAGAATACAAAAAGGCTGACACGGAATTTGATCCAATTTTTAAGAAAGTGAAACCAATTCCTGGAACTCGAAAATATCATTGCTATATTCCAGTTTCAAACAACCAAATTGCAGTAAAAATATTCTCTAATTCAAACGATACACCCAAATTTTTCAATGTATTCAAATAATATGAGTTGTAAAATAAAATAATAAATATATACTGTTTCTTATCTCAACAAATCTTTCATTTGACCACATCAACGTGCTTCTCTTCCGCTGCCTCTAGATAGAAACGGGTAAGTCTGACAGCTACCATATCTGAGAATGAATTGTTTGGTTTTTAATATACAATCATGAAATAAAATCTCGTTGCTGGACATCTCGACGAACATTTGAAAATGGCCTAATATGTTGAAAATTGTTATAATTATATTTTTTTAATTCGCATTAACTTGAGAACGGCTGGACTTAGGAAAAAAGTTTCTATATGCAAAGTTATTGAAAATTATGCGTAAAATCCAAATAAATTATTATTTTATAAAAAAATATGCATTTTCATCAACTTGTAAAAATCAACAAAAATTTAAAAAAATTATAGCTTTCTTTTTAAGAAAGTTACCAGCATACACTTTTCATGAAATTTAAGAGTATTCCATCAATTTTCTTGAAAAAAAAATTATAAAGATAGGAGGGGGGGTGTTTTGAGATAATCATCGTTTTACGTTTTTTAAATACTAATTTACGAAGTTTTTTCTTTCAGTGTATTTTTTCCGCAAAGATAATTTAATTACCTAAAACTTCTTTTCATATGCCGTTTTGATCAGATCAATAGTTTTCAAGTTATGATTTTTTGGAAAAAAATAATCCATTTTTTATACGCCCTTTTCAAAAGTTACTCTGGAGGAAAAAATCATATTTAAATGAAAAATGCAACCATTAGTAGCAGCGAACACGTGAGCAATGTTTCATTCAAATCAGAAGGGGTCGAGACAAAATTGACATTTTTTTTAACGATTTGAGCTAGAAATGCTCGTTAGCAATCTATTATAAAAAGTAATGAAAAAGACCCCAAAACAGCGAGCCATCACTGATACCACAATTATATAATTACCTAAATTTACATTTGTGGATCATTATAACACAATAATTCATAGAGCAGGCAATATGCTTAATTTTATAAAGGGTTTTGGTTTCCACTTTAAAGATCCTTACACAATTAAAACACTTTATGTTGCCTACACACTTAGATTATTTTACCGAAATCTGTGAAATTTTACCGACATCTCAACAGCTGAACGTTCGGTAAACAGTTCTGTGATTTTTCGCAGATTTCCTGTAATTTTTCACAGATATTCGGTGAAAAATTACAGGAAATCTGTGAAAAATCACCGAACGTTCAGCTGTTGAGATTTCGGTAAAATTTCACAGGTTGCGGTGAAATAATCTTAGTGTGTATGTAAGGCTAATATTAGAATATTGCAGTGTTGTTTGGTCACCTTATATGAAAAGGCATGCAGAACGAATAGAATCAATCCAAAGGCAATTTTTATTATATGCACTACGTGGGATGTGGGATGGACAGAATTTCCTCTCCCATCTTATGAAGCAGGCGAACCAGCCAATGACTGAAAGCCTTGTAAATAAAGGGAGAAAAAAATCTTATGAAGCTTGTTGCTTGTTAATCAACATTCAGTCATTGAAAGAGCTTCGGGATTAGGCTATGGTCTCTTACGTGAACAGTATTGCTTCGCAACGCATTGACTCAGCTTATTTATTATCAAGACTTAATTTTTATGTACACTCTCGTCAATTGCGTAATCGACATTTGTTCGCGGTAGATCGTCACCTCACTAACTACGTGAAATATGGTTATCGGATGATGTCTGTTCATAATCTACACTGTAAAATGATAGACCTAAATATGCCGCCCCTAAAAGTGAAAAAAATATTTCCAAGCACTGCGAAATCATAGATCATAAGTTATAATGTAGTCTACGTTTTTGATTGACGAATAAATAAACAATGACCGGACACCCAGTGCCAGTATAATGTAACTACGTTCCTTTCGGCCAATTGTTTTAAAGAAAGAATGCATTCCCACACTAGCTTCGATCGACATTTTTTCCTTGATTTTTATTCCGTCGATCCTGTTTGCTAAATGAGGAGGGGAACTAGGGGCATTATGAACACCCAGACTGGACACCCCCTATATTTTTCAAAATATCAACATTTTTTCAATTTAGATGTAACAGATATTTCATACCTTTTTCGTCGATTTAATTCTACTACGTTTGTATCACTTTCACTTTCACTAAAACACTTTCACTAATTCACTTTCACTTTTTACTTTCACTTTGAACTATAACAGATACGTAATTCGTTTACTACTTGAAAACGATCTGATATAGTTCAAAGTGATAGTGAAAGTAAAGAGTGAAAGCGAATTAGTGAAAGTGATAAAAACGTAGTAGAATTAAAAGTAAAAATCGACGAAAAAGGTATAAAATTATTCTACTAAAACGCTCATCAATCAATTTAGAAGATATTCGATTTCTCTTCTGAATGAGTAATTTAACGAGTAAACCAATTTCAATATTTTCCTAATCACCGTAAATTCTTGAAAAAACGCACAGGCTTTCTGTGGCTGAAAAATTATAATTCTCAGCGAGCAGATTACGGTAATTAGACTGCAATTATCGTTTGTTGTGGAATATTCAATTTTTTTTTTGTTCCAACATAGGGCAGAGCCCTACTTTGGCCTAAGCGGCCATTTGGCCTATCGAGAAGAAAACATCAAATAAATCCATTGTTTCAGAGTTAACAAGTCAATTATGTGTTTGGTACGATACGCGTTTTGGTTTCGGTACGTACGGAAAGGTAAATAAATTAAGAAGTCATCTGAAAACAATCCATTTTGTGAAAAAAATCCAATCGAAAAATAGAGGCAAGGACGGGTTGTGCTTAGTAGGCCCAAAATTAGATCTAAGCCCTAAATCGTTGATTACTTCATTTTTGGTAGGTACATTAAAACAATCAAAAACTAACGATACAATATTTTCTCCCGTTGGGGTAGAAGGGGTGTCCATTTTACCCCACTAACTTTACGATGTCAATGTAATGTAACAAATTTTCAAATTGTTTTTGAAGAAGAAAAAAGTCATTTTTTTTTAATTTGCTTCTATGTGCTACTGTTGCTAAATTAGTGACAAAAGTGTGTAGTAAATAATACATAACAATATTTTGTTTCTTATCAAGTCAAACTTGTCAAAATCCTTAGGATGGTAATAATGCCCCTAGTTCCCTCAATGCTACCGACTCCAAAAGGCAGCTCTTACACCTGGACCCTACCTATAAACCCATGAACTCATGGATTGGGGACCAACGGCATTACTTCCCTTCCGAAGGAAGGCGTGATCAGAGATTTTATACCTCTGAAAATCCCGGCGACGCCGACTGGGATAATACCCAGGCCTTTTTGGGTGAGAGGCAATCACGCTTACCACTACACCACCGGCGCTTCTCGATCGACATGTTGCCAGAGGGATTTTCGAACATTTTTTTTTTATTTTTGAAGTTTCAATTTTAAGTGAAAATTCACCAAATGGAACACAACCAAAATAATGCTTGTTCGTTTTTGTGTATCACATAGAAAAGGCCCGTTTTCCAGGTCTGCTTATCTATCTGTCGTGTGTTGAGCTTACATTGTAGCAGTATGTTGCACAACTTGGTCAATTATTTTAAAAGCAGATATTTTGAATATGCTTCCCGAGTGATAATCGAAAATTGTGGGCTAGAAATATTAACTCACCTTGTAGGACTTGTTTCACGGGAGTTGACCAGTGATCGCGGAATACCAGAATTTTTTTTCGGCACGGTGCCAGTTTGTTTGTAAATTGAAGGAATACCAAAATTGTCACGTAACCTACTGGAAGGAGAAGTGCTTCTTGATGTTGCTGGAACAAAATAACAAAGAATTATCATATGAACTTGAATGATATCACATTGCGTTAGTAATGCTTACGTTGTGATTGAGACACGCCTGACCTCGAACGGATTCTTCGTTCAGGGGTTGGAGGTTGTTGTGGGGTATTTATCGATGCTGGTAGCTTTTTAGCTCGCGCTAACATGAAATGCGTACAAAGTATGGTAATAACAATAAATTATTAATAATATTTTTTAAGTGTAAAATTTTACGAATATAACAAAAACATATACTTTATACCGTGCGGACCGAAGTCCATGTTGGCGTTCTACGCATACCGTAATGGCCTGATCCAAATGCCATGTAAATTTTATTATGATCCTATAGTGTCATCCATGATCATCTAACATAATTATGTTGCCAAGTGGAGGTAATCATTTCTGCTTATTGAAGGTAAGCTGCTTATTGACGTAAGTGACAGATAACTCATGGGTTAGCTGTCAAATCCACGCAAACATAAACACAACGTAGGGTTGTTTTACGGTGGTGGCCTTTAACTAGAGATGAACTAGCCTAAGGCTAAAAATCTCTTTAATAAAGTTAAAAAAAAAAAAAAATGGTGGTTTTTAAATTAGCACAATAGGCCAATTTTCATACAAACTAGCCAACTTTGGCATGTTGCAACTATGTTTTATGATGTGAAATTGAGCTGAACTACAAATATGCTGAAGTACAGAACTACAAATATGCTGAATTTTGCGTGTACGTAATATCGAAGACTGGCAACTCTTCCATTCAAAAAGACTGGCAACTCTTCCATTTTTCTCGAACGATCGCTATGAGGCAGGTACAAAAGCGTCATCTGCCGCTCAAAAGTAAATGCTTCGAATGAATTTGATAGCAAAGATTACATCCTCAGAAGAAAGGTTTGTGTATTTGCTCGTTTTTCTATGCGTTGATTCCACCTTCGCTCAAATGCAGCGCTACTGTATCTGTCACTTGGATTCTGGCAAAGTTGCCAGTCTTCTTGATATGATGTTTTCGGTAAATAAAATTATTGGAAGCGCTTGCCGGAAATTGACGGGTTGGTTGAAAAAGGTCAACTAATTAGCATATTTATAATTTGAAATTTCCGAAGTGATAGTTTTAAAATTTTCAACCATATTGCCAATAAACGACGGCGTGCTTAAGAAATTTATTTACGACATGGTCGAAAACTTCCGAAATAATAGACTTCGAAAATTTCGAATTATAAATGTGCTAATTAGTTCATTTATCCGGAGTGAATTCTTTTGATGACTTATTTTCCAAAGTTCTTTGTAGTAAATCAAATGTTAATTAAAAAAATAAACGATTTATTGCCACACAATTTCATCGCTTATCAACTGGGCAACTATTTGAAAAACTTGAAAAATAATAATAAACAATTTTTAACCATTTACGGTTAGGTCAAGTTATGGTTCGCATTTATGCGGGAATCCTAATTGAAAAGTGCACTGAGTTTTTTTTTTTCAGAAACAGATAATAAAGCAATCGATAGGAAAATTAAAACCCGTTATTATAACGGGTTTTAATTTTCCTAATACCTACTAGTGTAAAACAAATTTCCGGAACACAGACGTTTCATATTTTCAAGCCAATAGATGAAAAATAATATAATTGTGAAACGATTTTCGTTATCGGATGAAAAAATACGTGTAAAACTGTAAAATTGTATAATACTACTATAGAATAAATAGACAGACAAATAAATATTCTGGATTTATTTTGAGAAAAAAAAAATCCCAATGAAGCAGGTGGCGAATCGAAAAAAAAAACAAGAAACCTGTATCACAAAACAACAAAATACTGGTCACAGTGAGAAGCCCAAACAGGTAAAATAACATTGACTTAATAACACACATCATAACTTTACTAACATAGCTGAAAGATATGGGTACTACTTTCATATTGAAAATAGCCAGTGTTCTACCCCTAATAAAAATGTTATGGTTAATTTGCCGACGTGTTCGGGGTATCATCTAATCATTTGTGGACTAGTTCAATCATTTGGGTTATCGTTCGTGTATGGTAATGTTTTATCAGGGAGGTCAGTTTTAATTAATAAAAATACATGATTATTCAATTGCTTTGACTCAATGGAGACTTTGTACTTTAAATGCATAAACATGAGAAACCGATGTTGTTTGACCATCCCGTTAAAGTTCCCATAAAGTTCGAAAATCGGCTTAAAGGGTGATACGGTCAAAATTTGGTCAAGGGAAAACGCGTGTAAATCGGTGAAATCGTTTATTTAAAAAATCAAATTAAATTTCTTTTTCAAGTTCAATTAGTATAAAATTCAGGAAAAATATTCAGTTAGGCTTCCGCTTTTCCAAATCCGAATTGCCGGGCCTTACGCTTGACCCCTGCCATCAGATTTTGTACAGCCACCTTGTCCACCTTCTTCGCCGCAGAAAGCCAGTTTGCCTTGAACTGCTGCTCGCCCTTAGCAGTTTTTTTGGTCTTCTTTAGGTTCCGCTTGACAATAGCCCAGTATTTCTCAATTGGGCGGAGCTCTGGCGTGTTGGGAGGGTTCTTGTCCTTGGGAACCACCTGCACGTTGTTGGCGGCGTACCACTCCATGGCCTTTTTACCGTAATGGCAAGATGCCAAATCCGGCCAAAACAGTACGGAACAACCGTGTTTCTTCAGGAAAGGCAGCAGACGTTTATTCAAACACTCTTTCACGTAAATTTCTTGGTTGACAGTCCCGGAAGCTATGAAAATGCTGCCTTTCAAGTCACAGGTACAGATGGCTTGCCAAACCAGATATTTCTTTGCGAACTTTGACAGTTTCATGTGCTTGAAAACATCTGCTACCTTTCCCCTTCCTTTTGCCGTATAAAACTCCTGTCCCGGAAGCTGCTTGTAGTCGGCTTTGACGTAGGTTTCGTCGTCCATTACCACGCAGTCAAACTTCGTCAGCATCGTCGTTTACAGCCTCCGGGATCGCGCTTTGGCCGTCGTATTTTGTTTATCATCGCGATTTGGAGTCACTACCTTCTTGTAAGTCGATAGTCCGGCTCGTTTTTTGGCTCGATGCACGGTTGTAGACGATACACCCAGCTTATTTGCGGCATCTCGGAGAGAGAGGTTAGGGTTTCGCTTGAAACTACCGGCAACTCTCTTTGTCGTCTCAGCGGCTTCCGGTTTTCGATTTCCCCCCGATCCAGACTTCCTGGCTGTCGACAAACGTTCCCCAAACACTTTAATTACATTTGTAACGGTTGATTTGGCAACTTTTAGCGATTTTGCCAACTTTGCGTGCGAGTAGCTCGGATTTTCGCGATGCGCGAGCAAAATTTTGATACGCTGCTCTTCTTGCTTGGACGGCATTTTGACAACTGAAGAGTGAATTCCAAAATCAAAATAGGAGCAACATTCTACACACACACACCTTCAAAATGAGGGGTGTTCAGGTTTTTTAAATGCAAAATTGAAAGAAATACGTCAAGTTGATATTGACCAAATTTTGACCGTATCACCCTTTAGTAGTTAAAAAGTTATGATTTTTTAAAGTTGGTTGAAAATAACCTTTTTTTTTACCCACCATAACTCACGAAGGTGCATTCTAATGGCAAAATATGTCCAACGTTTGAGTTATACATTCAACAACAAAATTTCACGTTATACACGGTGACTGGTAATTCGTGTTACACCCGTAAGGAGGTGAAAGTAGACCACATTTGCAGCAAAAAATTGTATGGCAATATTGTATATTGAGAACCAGAGTTGCGACCTATTACAATCACGATCGTCAAACAGCTGATGGTAGTAACGTTTGGTACATTCCTATCATATGCTTGTCGAAGCACTCTGCATGACCATCCATCAAGTTGACGAAAGAAGTAAAAACCAACTTGTGAATGTCGTCTTCGGTGGTGATCCATCACCGATCTGGTCATTCCCGACAATCACGCACAGATAAGTGTCGTTTTGAATCAGTTGCTGCTTTGCTTGCTTATGTGAGTGTGTTGGTGAGTGAGCCCAACAGCTTCCGTTTAATTTTGCCAGTTTGTAACTCACACAGTCGCGCATGCCGAGACGAAATTGGAATGCGTAGGCGTTGTTTTCATTTCCTTCTGTCGTTCGCTAATTCTCATCATCGTACTGCACACTTCACTGTTTTCGTTGTGCTTCAGTCTTCACTGTTTCCGTTGTGCTTTACATCATCAGTAGCGAGTGTTGCAGTTTGTCTGTGAGCAGCGACCATTACTGGTGATTGTTGTTTGTCATGGCTCTACCTCTCACTGCGTGACAAAACGTTCTGTCAGCGATAGTCGGTTGATGCGTTGACGAGTGTCGGCGCATCTTCGAAGATAAATGGTTGTTCAATGGAATATGGAAGAACAGCTTATGATTAAAAGTAGAAAAATCAAACATTTGAAACATTTTTTCATATTGTTTAACAGATCTTTATCACGAGGAGGAATATTCGAAAACGTTGATTCTTTCATTAAAATTCGAACAACAGCTTATGATCAATAAGAAGGAATAAATCATTCTTCATTCATTCATGTTAGCCATATTACCCCACTGCCGATAAACGCATAATAATTATTGTCCTATGTGTATATTAAACTCCATAGCGCATGGAACAGTTATGCGTTCAACGGCAATATAACAAGATCTCATATTTTGCAAAATAAACACAATGCGAAAAACTCGGGGTACTTTGTCATTCGTGGAAATGGTTTTCGAGGTAATGTATCATTCGGGGTAGTGTTATAGGAAGTCGGATATTTTGGATTCTATCACTGACTATTTGAATCATGAGAATATCAATTTTTGTTTACATACAATCGAAAATTATACAGTATGCTTGTTTCCTACTGTCATATTTTTTAGGGTAGATACGGCTTCCCGAGATATGAAAAAAAAGGCCTATAAAACATACGGTCGGAACATACTGCTAAGTGAGTTATTCAACAGTCTATGTTTGTCTGCATACCCAACATTGATTAGCTATATTTGTTCAACCTTTAAATGTTTTTCTGATTTCAACATACCAAATGAAAGATTGAATTCTTATCTATCAAAGCTCATTTGAGAGGAACTCGAGTAAAGTTAATTATGATACACAAAAATTGATTGGGTTTTTTAGAGATGAAAATTTTCATTACTGCTAATATAGGTACTTCTTTATTTTCCTATGATTTTTTTTCCGTCGATCTTGTTTTGCAATGCTACCGACATCAGAGAGGCAGCTTCCACCACTTGGAACCTACCCATCAACTCATGGACCGGAGACCAACGGCTTTAATTCCCTTGATCAGATGTTTTATACCTCAGAAAATTCCGACGCATGGGATTGAACCTAGGCCCTTTGGAGTGAGAGGCAGTCTATATACTTGTTCTACAAAGCTTTCTTTATGCAGTTCCCTAGATATGCGCCTTTGGTAGTAACCTTTAAGGTTTCATGATTTCTTCTTTTTTTTTAATCTTTATTTTAGAGATTTTTAGCCTAAGGCTAGTTCATCTCTTTCATGATTTCTTCGTAATTATTGATTACCCATGAAAACTGAAATTTTCCTCAAAATGCGCTATGGGCACCCCATTCGTTCGTGCGTTCGGCTGTTCCAGTTCAATACGTACGTAGGCAAAATATTATTGTGAATGCTGAGATACATTATTTACTTTTGATTACCGCACATGTGCCGAAAGAAAATATTACTGCGGAGATGTTTTGCGGCACTGGTGGTGTAGTGGTAAGAGTGATTGCCTGGGTTTATTTATTAGATAATAAGTTTATTTGTAGTCATGTGTCAAAATTTCAGCTCAACTAATCATAACAAAACATAGTTGCAACATGCAATAGTTGGCTAGTTTGTATAAATATCGGCCTATTGTGATAATTTAACCACTGTAATTACTCTAAAGAGCTTAATATGATCAAGTAGCTGCACAGTGTTCTCTGGGTATATTAGTAATTCTTCTTGCTGATAAGTTATTATTTTGAAGATTTCTAATTGTTCAATCAACTGACTTTCTTGCAAGAATATCTTAGAGACATGATTTGATTTATTGAACAATTAGAACAATTAGAGATCTTCATAATACTAACTAATCAACCAGAAGAATTGCCAAAATACCCAGAGAACATTGTGCAGGTTTTTGATCAATTTGAGGTCTTTGGGATAATTCCTGACCAACCGAATTTCTCGTAAGAATATCTTAGAGGTATGCTTTATTTTATGGAACAATTAGAGATCTTCAAAATAATTAGTAAATAACCAGAATAACTGCCAAAATACCCAGAGAACATTACGCAGGTATTTGATCAATTTAATTACTTCGGTTACATCTGCGGACTTCAAAAAATACCTGTAAACTTCAGAAAAGTTCAGCAAGTGTCACTTAAATTCTGTCTATTTAAAATGAGTTTTGAAAAGTTTTGCAAAATTCTGCAAACATCAGAAACATTCAATGATTGTCAGAGAAGATCTGCAATCCATTGAGAATATTCTTGAATTCTATTTTAAAGAAAGCAAACATTAATAATTTTAAAAAAATCTATAGCTTTGTTAAATTCTCTGAATTTAATTAAATTTCTCTGAAGCTCGCAGAAGTTCTTCGAATTTTACAGCACTTTTCTTAAGTTTGTTTTTATTTTCTATAAGAACGTCTTTTGAAGTTCTTAGAAGTTTTTTTAATTACTCCGTTTTTTATTTTGCACGAATGTTGTTCTACCGTTTGTGCTGTGTAAGAGAGATGACGGTACACAGAAAAAATGTTGAATATTACATCCAAACTGCTGCAACCAGGTCAATCCATCGGTTGTGTAATATAACGTTGTATGATGTACATCGATTTTGCGAACAAAATTACATCCATTGATGTAATATTGTATCTGCTTTTTGCTATTACATCATTATTTCATACATCAGCTTGAATTACATTGATCGATATTACATTTTTTTTTTGCAGACTGTCGCGCACGATAACGAAGCTAGTGTAGTAGCCACGTCTACCGTTTCAACATCTGCCTGCGTGTACAATGATATAAAAGGGATATCGACTTACTACCACTATATACTTCTCTCCCTTTCTCCCAGGATTCACCGATTAGGTGTCTCTCGTTGTGTGTTCTACTCAAACTGAGAAATATCAATATGTACCGCAAAACATCTTCGCATTTCGGAACAGATGATGGTGCGGTAAAATTCACAATAATATTTTTGCCAATTTCCGCGCACGTATTGAACTGGAACAGCTGGTACGAACGAATGGGGTACCCATAGCGCACTTTAAAGAAAACGTCGCAAGTTTTCATGGGTATTTTAAATTAATAAATACGAATAAACTTTATAACCTTGAAGATTACTACCAAAGGCACAAATCTAGAATATTTTGTAGAACAAATGAATTAATAGTAATGAAAATGTTCAACGTAAAAACACTAAAATGAACGTAATTTGACCAGATTTGTTGGTACTTTCAAGATACTTTTCAATTTTTATGTATCATAATTAACTTTAATCGAGTTCCTCTTAAAGGAGCTTTGATCGATTAGACTTCAATCTTTCATTTGGTATATTGAAATCAGAAAAACATTGAGTATGCATAAAAATGTTGAATAACTCACTTAGCAGTCTTTCCGATCTATGTTTTATGGACATTTGTTCATACATCGCGGATTCCTATCTACTCTGAAAAAATATAAAATCAGGAAAAAAAACGCCCTGTGTATAGATTAAGAGTATAATTACCTTGCTGAGCGTATTGACCTTCTATTAGGTCAGGGTCATCCACCAAGGCGATACATGCAAATAAATAAAATATATCGAAGGATGAATATGAATGTACAAACTTTCAACAATTATATAGTAATGTATGATAACTGTTATGAACTGTCATGGACTAAAAAGTAATAAAATATGTACAGGTTATGGTATTAACACAGACAAACAGACATAACACATTGAATATTTCTGTTTAAGAGATGAACTAGCCTATGGCTAAAAATCTCTATAATAAAGGAAAAAAAAAAAAAAAAAAAAAAAAAAAATTGAATATTTCTCACTGTAAAACATCATCGCTGAAAAATTACCGCCATTTGTTGAGTACACTGTGGTGGGTAGTACGTTGAACAGATGGCGGTAGTGTGTAAACGTCAAACTCAATGGAAATGACTATGCGCGCCACAGCTGGCGGTACTACCGACTACGATACTATTAAATTGACCGTTAAATGCTTGTTTGATAAACAACTTGCGAGTGTTATGTATGTTTGTCTGTGCCATAATGTCCCAGACAACCAGAAGTCGTATAACAATGCACACAGGGTTACTTCTACTCACTTCGCTATAAAAAATGTTTTTCTTAAATTTGAAATCAAATACGGGCGACTTGTTTCGCGCTCCGTTGTGTGGGGGCGAGTGGGTGAAAATTGTAATGACGTTTTGATATCTGTTGGATGACCTTTTAAGTACATCATCATGTTTGTAATTGTTGATCTGAAAACTAGGTGTCGCATGACCAGTTTTGGCTTTGCTTTGATTCGCCAGTTTTTTCTCACTTAGCGATCCCTGGCATAGCCCGAGCAAAGTGGGTTAACAAAATGAAACCAAATCGGTAGTACAGTTTGCAGTTCCTATCATAATGAAAACTCATTTTGATTTCAATTGTCGTGACATAAGTCTGATATCATATTGTGCTTTCATTAAGTAGTCGAATGACATTTTTAAATGAAAGCAACTTGACATGAAGTTCTGCTATTAACGTCTTGTTTAAAATTTAATTTAAGTTCATCTGTTGTTGAACTAACGATTATTGTTTATTTGATTTGTTTAACAAATTTTAGGTCATTCGTGACTTGTGCGTGGTGACATTTGAACTCAAGTCTTTCAGCGTGAGAAGCATGGATGCTAACTATTTACGCCAGGCCCGTATTCAGTTAAATATTATGAATGCAGAATCAGTAATCAAATTGATTTAATTGAAAGCAGGATTAGATTTCCGTTTGATTCAAATTTTGCTCTCATTTTTGCTGTGTAAGTCAACCAAAATTAGATCAACTGGAGTATTCAAAATAAGTTACATCATGACAGCAAATTTTAATCTCAATTTGATTTTCAGCTGACTACCATAACCATTACCATAAAAATTCTCAAGCCATAAGTTAAAAGGTTCTAAAATAGTTTTCTTTCCGAAAATCTATGGAGAAAACAAGTTTTTTGAATGGTAATGGTTCTTAACAACCCATCATTTGTAAGGTTCACTTCCATTAAACCATAATTCATAAGGTTAATACTTTATTACACAAACGTTCATGTAAAGTTCCATAACCATTTCAGTTAAAGTTTAGCAGGGATTATAAACAATGTTTAAGCATTTTCGGTAAGGTCAAGTTATGGTTTGCGTTTATGCGTAGAAGCCTGAGTATGCCTTTGCAAAAGATAGGTAACATCCACTGCAGAATTGCTTCTGATAATATTTTCTGAATATACTAACTCTTCATATAATTTTTGGCAAGGAGTAAAAAGATGAACAGCTGGGAGTGCTCTGTATGGAAACTGCCATAATTTAATGAATGTTTCCGGAACATGGTCTATTTATAGACATATCAAGATTTTGAAGCTGAACAATTTCTGTGGAAATTCTAGGACAATATTTAAAGGATATGTGCGAACATATTCGGATAAGAACTCCAAGGGAATTCAGAAGAATTGGTCTGAATAATTCAAGGAGACGTCAAAGAAAGTTATGGAAATACATTTTAGCAAATTATTGCAAGAATTTTGACAAAATAGAAGAAAATTGTTAAATAAAAACCAAGATTTCATTGTGTTCTGCAGAGAAATTTTAGAATGGTGTAGAGAAAATTTCAGGGGAATTCTAGAAAGAATCCCAAAATTTAGCTAGGATATTGTGAAAAAAAAAACTTTGAAGAGATCCTGGGATACTTATTAGGAAATAAAAAAAATAATTATATTTTAGGAATTTTTTTTTTATATAGGAAAGTTTGAATATACTGAGAGGTAAGCACATATCATCGGTAAGAGACGTGTGTGTAAGAAAATTTGCGAAAAAATCTAAGGGCACCGGTGGGATGCGAACCCACAATTCCCATTCAGTACACGGGTGCATTGCCAATTATACAACGGTGGACCTACGGTGGGTCTACGGATGTATTTGGCTAATGACATTTGAGTTTCGAATCCGTTCCCCACCCTAGTCTTTTTGCGCAAGCGTTCTCTGATACACAACAATCGTCTATTATCGACGATATGTGCTTGTACCGCAACCACTCAGTATCAGTCGATGTGAACAAACACAGCTCATTTTTGTTGTACATCTTACATGCTGAAATATGTCCAGTACAGTATGACTATAACATTTTGAGCTGCCGGCCTCACCTCCGACGACCGGGCCTTAGTTGATGAATATCCTACTTTTACTTTTTGATTTACGGTTTAGCGACTTTGCAGTCAATTTAATTGTTTTATAGGAAAGTTTGAACATACTGAGAGGTAAGCACATATCATCGGTAAGAGACGTGTGTGTGAGAAAATTTGCGAAAAAATCTAAGGGCACCGGTGGATTAAGAAATGCTTGTAGTTCAATTTTCAACGACATTTCGTGAAATTTCTCATACAAACTCGATCAGATAGACAGTTAACGGGAAAATAAAGTATATGGAAAAGTTTATAAATAGTTTAAATTAGAAAATAGTGGAAATGGATGTAATGTCGGCCTTAACACCCCTAATTCGGACCCATATATACATTCAGCAATCGACTAAATTTTCATTAGTGACCAAAAATATCCAATTGATGAATAGTTGATTTTTAGCGATGGACCCAAACTTAGGTCCATAGGCCAACATTAGAGCCATTTCCCCTATATGTTAGAAAAATAAGAACGGCAATCACAACCCGATTATCTTAATGATATGAGTATGGTAAAGAGGTTGGAAAAACGGAAAAATATCATCCATATTCTTTAAAATCAGTTTTATAATTATAAAATATAGTTTAATTATTTATATACCAAATAAACATTATACAGATTATGAGTATGTGTTACTATGTTTAAAAGAGCACGAAATTTCCTCCATGCAGCTTTAAAAAAACACATATTTCACATTTTTTTACTTCCTGATTTTCAGAATATTTGAAGGGGGAGGGGTATACAAAAGTCAAAATTATGATTTGATCCAGCCTTATTTCAACAAAATTAAAATTTAATAGCATAATGATGTTGTATAATAGTATAGGTTTTCGTTGCAATAATTTACAGAAATAACGATAATAAATATATATGTAGTGAGCAGTGAAAGGAGGTCGAGCGGATGACCTCACGGTATACATGTTCATTGTAATTGTAATTGTTCAGTGTATAGGCTGTGTTCCAATTATGGCACTAGTGCTACAGCTTTTAATGCTAGGGCCTATCTGAAATTCTAAATAATTTTTCATGGTTTTATTGGCGGACAAATGTATGTTCTACTTTGCATCGAAATAAATTTAGTAAAGAATGAAAAATATTTAAATTTAAGATAGGACCAATTAGACGACCACTAGGGCCAAAACTGATACGTTTACCCTACATGCATTCTGGTTGTCTGGGGTGGTAATGCATCAATACTGGTCCAAGCTCTAGTCACCCTCTACAGAGATGTTTCGATCTTATTCACTTAAAATCTATGCTAGACCATAGATATGTATTATATAAAAATTCTAACTTCTTTATGGACTAGAAATGAACTAGCCACAAAGAATTTTGATGAGATAAGGTATCACAGAAAATATCAAGAAGGGTCACGAACGGCTTCAACCCTCACCCCGAGACCCTATTCCAAGCACGTTTTTTAAAGAAAATTCATCGGAAATCTATCTAATAGATGTTCTATGATGTGAAGTATCATGCTGCAGGAAATGTTTACCCTATGCTTGGAATAGGAACTCGGGAGGGGAGGAGGGTACGAAGCCGTTTGCCAACCGTAATAATTAAATGCGAAACTATGGTACTTACGTAGCGATGCTGACCCTGAAGATATTTTCATGCGTGCCATATTTGAGTACTGTGCTCTTGCGCGAGCTCTCTGGGCAGCAGCAGTATCAACAGCAGAAACACTGCGCAAGCCAGCTGTATTAATGGAATGAAGTGTTTATGGCATAGAACGGGAAATGAAAGTATTCGTTTAGTGTAATAAATTTATCTGGTATAACGAGCTATAACTTGAAATCATAATTAAGACACATGCAGGATGGAAGCACAGACAAACATAACTCTTGCTCGTACTACCCGTGACAACAGATGGCAGTAGTGTTTTAGTGACAACGAAAATGTGTTATATCTGTTTGTCTGTGATGAAAGTATGATGTAGCATTTCATATTTTGGAAACATACACACGTACAACATAACATAACGTATACGCATATGACATCCCTTAACAGTGGTTTATACATATACATATACATATTTACACACATACAACAAAATCGCATTTTTAACGTACAAAACTGATAATTTTGGAAAATTAATGTCGAACATACACCATGCACGTAGTTCCTAACCCTATCACTTATTTTTTTATCAATAATGCCTTGCTCAATTGAAGATATTCATGTTTTAGCGATTCTAACATATGTTAAGTCAATACTCGATATGAAGTAAATCTACATGATCATCAATCTTGTTTACAACTCTCAACTTGGCGGGTCTTCCTAACCTCAATCAAATCTGTGCAACAACTGATAAAACGTAAATATTAAGCTGTTTGCAAAAAAGAACATGCGGCCTTTACGCGTTCAGTTTATTTGGTAGGGTAGTGGGGAAAATGTGCCATATAGGGCAAGAGTCCCCCAACAGTTTTGGAAATAAATACATTTTCAATGCTATCTCACCCATGGCGACCATAAATCATCATGGTATTTTGTTACTTCATGTGAAGTTTACTAAAAAAAAAAACAGTTATAAAAAAAAAGTGTGAAAATTTACCAGAAATTGAAATTGAGCGAAGGACCATACTAATCAAATGCACACTTATTTACCTAGCTCACACTTTATGGGCGAGGGGATTTGAGGTATTTCCTATGTAGTTCTATGAATAGTTTTATGTTCAACGTTTATCACTACCTAACCCACGTAGCCGAATGTATGTTTTGCAACTTTTCTTTACCCAACTATTGTCCAACGTAGTCATCTCAGAGAGAAGGAGAAGGGTGTTGTTGGGTGCTGTACCATCATCAGCATTGTTGATGGTTATTCCCGCCCTGAGTTATTGCATTCAATCAAAGTTTTTGTTACTGCATACGTGAAGTTTACGATTTTAAGAATTGGGAGGAAATGCTATACTAATATCAACACGAAGCTTTAGTTTGATGATTTATTGGCTAGAGAAAGTTCTAAAGAGTATTTGAGGAAATACCGCACTCTTTTGCCTGTGAACATTCCGGTGATAACGCATACTGCTTCCGACGAGATGGTTCAGTACGCACTCACGACTCGCATGGCCATGAGCCGGAATGTACTGCTCAGTTTCCTTTGGTTCTGCTTGGTTTCCAGCGCTGCAACCCAGGCTGGACCACCATATCTTAGTATCGACGACGACACACGGTGTTATGCACCGTCGAGAGTTTTGAGCGCATGCATACTACAACTAAGTAGTGGTCCGAATCTATGTTCGCACTGCGGTACGTGCGGACGTTGATGATGTCGGTGAAGAATTTCCCGTCGATTAGAAATATCGATTTGGTTTTCTGTGTGTTGGTCAGGTGATCTCCAGGTGGCTTTGTGGATATACTTGCGGGGGGAAAAGGTACTTCGGATTACCATACCACGGGAGGCTGCAAAGCTCGCGCATCGTTGGCTGTTGTCGTTCGATAAGGCATGCAGGCTGCTATGCCCGATTTCCGCATAAAAAGGCATAAAAAGCAACAAGGACTAAAATGTGTTCCTTTGATTACTGAAGAATCCTGATCCCCTTGTTTGAAGTTGTCAGGACTAGGGTTCGGAGGTAGATCTTATACAACGCACCACGAAAAGCTGATCTACCAGCGTTACTGGTTTTAACGGAAATTATTGCATTTGCACTATTTTTTTAGTCTTGTGACTGAAATGACTGAATTTTGATTTGGGGTTACTTTGATAATGCCCGATGAATGTAGAAAAACATGACTGTAGCTCAAACAATTTAGTTAAACAAATATGACACTTTGAATGAGTATACAATCAGAAAATATCATAAGACAATATATCGGAAATAAATTTCATAAGTGATGCTTTGAGTGATTTTTCAAACAGGAAAAAAAACAAGAAAATTGTATAAATAATGGAACGATGTGTTAAAACAATCATTGAAAAATAAGACAAATAAAAAAAAAACAAAGTAATATAAGTAAGTTCGTAAGTAAACGTTGGCTAAATGAAAACGACTTTTTGATTTTTGTAAAAATCGTATCTTTCTTCAGTCCTTTTTTGAAAACTGTAAAAGATAAGTTACTGGCTGAGCAATTTTTGACAGCGGAAAATATTTCTGTACGATAAGTTTAAATTTTGAAAATATTCAAAAAGTTCTTTTCAGTTAGCGAACGTTTAATGTATAAGTATATAGACCTCGCACAGATGATTGGTTATCTCGATGCGCAACTGGAATTCCGCTACGATTGCGAGAGTAAGTTCGAGGTAATGACGGAGTCCGTTGTAATCGTGAAGAAGCCGCTTGGGCACATGATAAATTTTCTGTACTGATACTAGTTGCATTTCCTTTTTAAGGATATACCGTCATTAGTAGACATACGTAAGTAATAATCCATGTTGGTGTGTGCGTGCAGGAATAAGGAAATGTGAAAATTAACTACATTAGATTTTTATCTAAAACACCGTTCGTGGGGAAAACAGGGAATAGTTAAAAAAAAAACAGCTTATAGCCTACATATGTCTGACGAGGAAGACCTCTATATCTAAATTTGACCCTTCTTACAAGGGACCTTGAATTTTCAAATGGGACTATTTTTGTTGTCAGATTGATTATTCGAATCAACATAATAGCAAAAATATGATGAAATCAAACATTTTAGCGGTGATGAGCAGCTACGTAGCCAGGAGGGGCTCTGAAGAATCAAATTGTACATAAATTATTAATTAATTTTATTCTCCATTATATTTATAAATTGAAATATGTATGCCTATTCTGTTATGATTTTATGTGACTTTAGTTTATTGTTCATTGGGATGAAAAATATCTGTATGTCGCTGAAGTTTTATTTCCCCATCTTTGCAATATTCTGCCGAAATTTACACAATCTAGATCTCGCCAATAAATTTTACTGAGATATCAGCAGATATTAAGTTAGTTGGCTGAGATGGAAACAATTTTCGATACTCAACAACCAAACGTCACTTTTGTTGATATATCAGTAAAACATTATTTCCGAGATCTCGGCTGAGCGAATCTCGGCTAAGCGAATCTCGGTGGAGCGAATCTCGGCTGAGCGAATCTAGGCGCGAAATTAAGTGTTTGTAAGTTCTGTTCTCGAATTGCAATTGTAGAGGAAAAGCAGAAAATACTGTAACAACTTTTTATAACAGTAACTGTAAGTTCCTGCAGAATGACAGACAACTACAGTATCATTTTTGTTTTTCATTATCGGCATTATTACATAGTTATTACGTATTACAATAGATGACTAAAAACATCAGGTATATCATAATTACCTGGTGGTTGAGCAGACGCTGGACTTCTTAGTCCCGAAGATTGCCTACGTTCTGGTTAGCGTGAAGTAACAAATGAAAGTATAGAATTGATAGTTATAAGTTACTGAGAGAATATTTGAATTATCAATAGTTGAATATTAGAATAGTTTAGAAACAAAATTTTAGTAATCCATCAATGAAATCAACGTATACAGTGTCCGATCGATTTTGGCAACACGTCTCCAATGTCTTTAATTAGATTGTGCTCTGCAGTTTAACAGCTTAAACTCTATTCAATATTTTTCTTAGATTATTCGGATAATTGAAGCTTGGATGTGACCAGCTAATCAGGATTGCTAAATTAAAAATGTGTGGCAAGCTAAGGCCAAAAATCGTGTGATGCCAAAATCTAACAGGCCATGTTTTAGAATATAAAGACGAAAACAAAACACATACTTATCACCCCACCAGGGACAGAGTTCAAGCTACTATTGCTGCCACGCAAGCTAACACTCATTGAATTGGTACCATTTGTTCCTAAATTGTCTCGATCTCGCTCCATCATACGTTGTGTAGCGGGATCCAATGATGAATAAAGATTATCTGCTAGATCCTGGAAATGTCTTCGGAAGCTCCAAAATGCACTGAAAGCACAATAAACAAGGAGTTAAGTAATATTCAAGCTATAAACAGGCCTTACATTACATACCATCGACTGTGCCTTCTTGCTTCACTGTCTGCATCAGAAAATCCTTTGCGTAAAGCATCTCTTAATAAAGAATTGTTTTTCTCTAAAGCTTTAGTGGGCCATTCGTCCAATAACAAGAGCATTATTTCGCTCAACATACTACGGATATCCTTTGACTTGGATTGCATGAGATTCTGGGTGATTATTGGCACTATTTTTGGAGCATGTATATGTTTGATGACGTATTTGAGAGTAATAAGTCCCGCAGACGATATGACTTTTGCAGAGTTTTGAATTAAATTGATTAACTCCTGCAAGATGTATATCACGAACTGATCCATTCGATTTTTTAGTACTTTGCACATATACGCCAAAGTAATACACCCTTCGCGTATAACTTGTGATCTCAGTTCTTTCAATATATCGAGGAATGCAATGGACAAGTCTTTAAGCTGCTGAGTGAATGTGGGCGAATTTTGCACATTGATCATAAGAAGCGACCGAATTTTTTTCAGCGCATCAACTCGCTTCTCCCAGTCCATGTTTTTATCACCAATTACAGTATTGATTGATTTCATGTGCTCATCCATATCTCGTTGTGAAAATATAGTCAGCTGTGGAACATTCTCGAAAGAATTTTCAAATATTTCCCATGACACAGCACCAGCGGCCAACAAATCTCCAGATCCTTGCGTTTCAAATAAGGGTTTCCGTGGCGTGGCGGATGGAGTCCTTTTCACTAAGCGTGTTGGTCTTGCCACAATGGCAGTATCAACATCATCGTTAGAAATGGCTGAGTTGATCGCTGACGGAAGTAGTAGTCCATCATTTCTTGCTTCATCAAATTTTTGTTCAAGGATGGCAAACTTTGCAGCCGGAACATCTCTTTTCCTGAGATCAGTTCTTAGTTTATCTCCTACATGTTTATAAATCTCAACCAAAGTTTGCACTGCTGCATCTCGTACTGTAGGTGTTGGGTCTCCTAGAAGTAGCACTATGGGCTGGATGTACATCTTTACTGAGAGTGATTGGGTGCCATACTCATTTAAAGCATTAATAATTGTTTGCAAAAACTCCTCTCTCACTTTCGCATTCTTATGTTTGAAGCAAACCGTCAATTTATCTAACATTGATTGTGGAGAAACTACTCGACATTCCATTAGCTTATGCAACAGTAATTGTGCTTTCTCTCGAACTGTATCACGACTATCTCCTAAGCGATCCACGGTGTGTGGCAGGATTGTTGAGGTATACGCGTTGAAATCCTGACCAAGACGTACGATCAACTCTGTGAATGCCTCTAGTGCACGTTGAGCAATCTGAAATTATTGTTATAATGTATTAATTGTATGTTATTAAGTGCATTGAAATAAAATTAAAACGATATTTATTACAAAAAAGTTAATTTCCGAACTGAATCGTGATTAAGCGCGTACATGCTTTTGTAAACAAACATATTAATCGCCGATTTCTCTTCATAGGTGTTCTAATCTGTAAAATTGTTTGATGCAGCCATGTTTGATTTTTGTATACAGTCCCCAATATCGGAAAAGATATGGTCAAAGTAGAGCACAGCATCCCGAAACAACGACACAAAGCGTCGAAAAGTTCACTATTGTGGAGAAGGAAGTAGGTACGTGTTTAATTTGCTTGGTTTGGGAAAAGAATGACAAAACAATGTATTGGTGATGAACTAGCCCAGAAGTGGCTAAAGATCCCAGATCAGAATAATAATAATAAAAAAATGTTTTTTATTACACTTTGAGGCAACTTTGAGGGTCAGATGATCATTAGCGCCGTGTTTTTTATTTTGTTATTTTATTTATTTACATCAACAGGCTGGATGAAGCCCCAATGATTTAAACCTTATCAACTATGGAAAAAAAATACATTCAAGCATGGTCATAACATAAAAAAAAAAAACATTAAAAAACGTATATCTTATAGTCAATATCTTAACTCCTGCTGGCGAAAAACAGAAGAAAACTTTCGACGAAGCGCATCACGGGAAAGATGAAAGTCAAAAACAGATGCAACTCTGTTGAATGTTCTCTGCAGTCCGCAAATCGCACCGTACGCTCCATAATTTGTGCGACGTAGAGGCAGTCTTAGCATAAGGTTATTACGAAGCGGTCGGGGTTGAACATTCAGGTCAATTTGCCTCAGGATAGCCTCACAATCTGTCCTTCCTTGTAGGATATCGGCCACGGTAAGGGCTCTGTTTGTGTCTCTTCTAGTCCGGAGAAGTTCTAGGTCGATAAGTTGACAACGGCTTTCGTAGCTTGGTAATCGAAACGGATCGTTCCAAGGCAATCTACGCAACGCAAAACGAAGAAAGCGACGTTGAACAGATTCAATTCTCTCGGCACCGTTGTTGTAGTTTGGGTTCCAAACCGCTGAACAATACTCAAGCGTCGATCGAACAAGCGAACAATAGAGAGATTTTAGACAGTAGATATCAGTGAAGTTTTTAGCTATCCTAAAAATGAACCCTAAAGTTCTTGACGCCTTATCAACAACATATGCAATGTGTTGCTTGAAAGAAAGCTGCGAATCCAAGATCACACCCAAGTCTTTCACCTGATTCACGCGTTCGATTGTCGAGCCAAGCAGGTCATAGCTAAATATTATCGGTTGTTGTTTTCGTGAGAACGTAATAGCGGAGCATTTGGCTGGGTTCACTACCATTCTGTTTAACCTGCACCAACTAGCGAATACATTCAGTTGACGTTGAAGAAAGTGACAGTCAGCAATGGAGCAGATTCGTAGGAAGATTTTGAGGTCATCTGCATATGATAACCGAGGAGCTTCGATGACCAGATGCACGTCGTTGAAGTACAGTATAAAAATTAACGGTCCCATGTGGCTTCCCTGAGGTATACCTGATGTGGCGAAGAAGCTAGCTGATCTGCAATCTCCTATGGTAACTTTTAGTTGCCGACCAGTAAGATATGATCGAAACCAACTCAGAAGATTACCGCATACACCGAGCCTGCCGAGTTTAGCAATCGCAATAGCATGGTTCAACTTGTCGAATGCTGCGGATAGGTCTGAATAAATAACGTCCGTTTGAACCCGATCCGACATGCTTTCGGTTATATACGATGTGAGACACAGCAGATTGGTAGTTGTAGAGCGGCCGACAGTAAACCCATGTTGATCAGCACTCAAATACTGCTTGCAATGGGACAGCAACGGTTCCATAATCACTAGCTCGAATAGCTTCGAAACGGCACTTAACGATGTAATTCCTCGATAGTTATCCACAGCTCGTTTCCTTCCTTTTTTGTGGACGGGAAACATGTGCGCAAATTTCCAGCAAGATGGAAATATGCCACCTGAGAGAGACATTCGGAACAGGCGAAGAAGCGGAATTAACAAGCTAGTAATATGTCTCTTCAAAAATACAGATGGAACTCCATCAGGTCCAGGATTGAAGGATGACTTGAGCAGAGTCGCGGCCTTAGAAATCATTTCTGCATTAACATCAATTGCACCCAGCGTTTGATCGTTTACTGGAACGTTCCTGGCAGCCAGGTTAATATGGTCGTCAGTTAGTGTCTCATTAGTGAATACACTGGAAAACTTTTCGGAAAAAAGGTGGCATATATCCTGAACAGTGGCAGCAACTTCTCCGTTGAATTCCATAGACGATGGGAGGCCGGATTCCCTGCGTTGCTCGTTCACGTAGTTCCAAAAGGATTTCGGGTGTAGCTTAAGTTTGCGCTGGATGCCTCGTTGGAAATTTGAAAAGCATTCACGACTGACTCGCTGGTACATGTGATTCAGCCTCACATAATGTAGTTTCAGAGGAAGCGTGCGATACTTCGTAAATCTTCTCAATGCTGCTCTCTTGATTGACTTCAACCTACGTAGCTCTCTCGTTTGCCAGGGAGGGTGAGACACTTTGTGGTGAGTTCTTTTCGGGACGTGTCTGTCAATGACATATGCCAAGACATGTGAAAAGGTTTGCGCTGCAGCCTCAACGTCATCTGGATCAAGGATGTTCTCCCATACCATGCTAGACAATACATCTATGATGCTACGGTGGTCAGCTTTACGGAAGTCATAAGAAACCGTAGCAGTATAGTCGCCAAAATCACGCACGAGTTTGTCCTCAACAGTGACAATTAGAGGAGGGTGATGTGGAACTAGCTTAGTTAGTGCACAAGGAGCCGAGGAAATTGGAAATTGTTAGCTTGATATTCCGAGCTGCGATATCACAGCTTGGAAAATCAACCGCAGTTGTTTGCTTGCTGATTTTTGTCTACGAAAATCAAGCGTGATCTTGGGCGTTGGTGAGATTTGATTTTTTTTTATATTTTCCCAACACTGTGCCTCAGAACATTCCGGCGACGCCGACTGGGATTGAACCCAGGCCTGCTGGGGTGAGAGGTAATCACGCTTACCACTACACCACCGGCGCCGCTTGATGGGCTGTCAATGACTCGCGCTTATTGCTGCTTACATTACACCGGTGTAGTGTAGTAAAAACGAAAACGACATTAGTAACAAGTATTTACTAAAAACGTCAGCCACCATGTTGTCCGTAGAGCAATAGCGTGACTGGATCACTCCACGGGTACAGATAGCCTTGGCATGATAGAACTTCGTATCGGTGTGTTTACTCTTCTAGTTCTGTTGCTCCGACGAGACAACATCAATACAGCCGCGATTGTCTTTGTTGATGACCGTCACTAGCCAGTATCAGTTGATAGTTTTGTCCCGATCAAATAACGAACCACGCGCGTTAGTTCTACCCAATCCCGTTGCGTGGGACAGCTGATATTGTGGCTCAGGATCAATACCGCTTCTGCTACATCCACCCATGGAGTTAATCGCAATGTAGAGTAGTGATCGCATGACGGTCTTTTGGCGGAGGAACGAACTTTCAAGCATCGTTCAATTGCAGTGATTCATGTTTATCGTCCATGGCATTTAGCCATTCTTTTTTATTAACACTTCCAGCTGCTTCTTTAAAGTTCATTAGATTACGCTCCTCCATCCTGGTCACGCCCACAACAAAATCACTGAGTTTCTTGTGCAACGCCCCCGCATTCGATCGCTAATCATTAGGAACGCGTCATCACTAAACTGTTCCTCGTCATCACTATCTAGCAATGATTCTACCTCGATTGATTTTTCATCTTTATCACTCACTAAATGTTCGTCTTCACTGAGCACTTCTTCACCTATTTTATTTACTGCCAGCGCCGAAGCCTAACACCGGCGGAGATGAACTTGCCAGATGGCTAAACATCTCCATAATAAAGATTTAAAAAAAAAAGCTTAAAGCCGAGTTCAAGAAACCTCGCATGGTTATCTTCCATGGTTGTCTTGGTAGGTTCAAATGTCGTAAAAACAACTCTACGGAGCCGAGTAATATGGAGCAAACAAACTGCCATCTCCTACAGCCACTCCACCTGCATCTTGATACCCTCGTCTTGGTAAAACTGATTGAACTGCTTGTATACGAACCCAGCAGGAACAAATAATCTGAGGATTTCATCCGAATTGGTTTTCGATGTGTCTCACGTCACTTTTGATGCAATCCTTTGCATGTCCTTTATTGCAGGTACATACAGGGCGAGAAATAATGAAGTCATCGATTTTCACCATAAAGTATCTACTTCCTCCGGGAGTGACGTTACTCATTGGCCCGGACAAATCTGTGTGAACAATTTATGATACAAGTCAGTAGTTTTATTACATAGGGGAATTTACGTATTCTCGTCAATCTAAGCAGCATCCGAACTTCTATTAGCGATTTCTCAGCGTCACACACATACATGACAGGTTTGTTTGTTAACATTTATCTGCTGCTTGCTGTTCTACCAATTCCAATCGACAGAATTGATCAAAACGGGTTGAACATGTTTTTACAACGCTCCAAACTTCTCAGGTGAGAGTGACTATTGTCGGCAGTCTCTTTTTCTTCGGCACCCTTTCCATTTGAACTGCATGTTAACCAGCTGTTCTATTATCGGCAACTCGAAATCAGCCGTACTTTGTAGTATATATATTTCATTTAAAGAAAAATATGGTATAACAGGAATTCACAGTCGTAAAAATGTAATCAGATTGAAGCTGAAAAGGTAAGGAATCGGCTTAATACATTCAGCGAAGAGTTTTGATGGGAAAATACAGTGAAATAAACGTTTCAATTTCGGTTGCCGAAAACAGTCAATGGGTGCCGAAGCTATAATTTACCCTAATATGGAAGTAGATGCCAATTGATAGTAGATAGCGTCTCAAAATGGGCGAAAATGCATACGGGACTGAGATTCGGTTATAGACAGTACTGGCGTACCTACTGGGATTTTTTTTTTCCATAGTGTTCATTTGGTAGGCTCAATGTCGGAACCGAGAGACTAATATATTTATCTTTTTCAACACAGTTATTGGGTCATGATTTTTCTTCTCCGATCTCTTTTTCCTCTCCTATGCTTCGTGTGCCGCCAGATTCACTCAATGTTCCGCCGTCAGTTCGGGTTCAGACTGTTGGGCTTCGGTCTCCGGGGTCACCACGTCCATTTTCACCTCAATAAACTTTTTTTAAATCCCGTATTTCCCTAACACCAACGTTGGATCCTCACCTGGTACTTCTGGTGGTAAATGATACACTCGCACGTGTTGCACGTGACATGCAAGCGACATTCGTACCTCCACTGCCTTTCCATTAGTATATTGGAAAGCCAATTGCTCCGGGTTGTGCATCAGGGCATAATGCATACTTGCTTCTGATTTAAATTTGATGAAGGTCGCTTTTTCCTAAGCAATGCGATATGTGGCGATCCTGTCAAGAAATTGGCTATTTCTACCATCACAGGCTTTGGGTTGCCGTTTGAATAGGCAAAACACAAAGTGTGTTTTATTTCGCACATTCCTATCGAAATCATTGCTTCTACGGCGACGGCAAAGACCACTGACCGAGCGCAAGCAAAGAACAAAGGCATTAAACGAACACCGTGGCCGAGTAAACAACTGTCGATAAAGCGATCGACACCGAAAGAAACAAGTACCTAGTGCTGCTGAGTCCACAGATGATACCAACTCAACTAGGAATTTTATTAAACAGCTATCTCTTCATTTTATTGAAATATTTATTTCAAAAATGACCATGCACATACAATTTATAAACATGAAAATCAAATTTACTTGTTTTAAAATAGAAGACTAATGGATTGATATAATGATTCACTTGACAAAATTAAGTTAATATATTTTTATAAACTTTTGTTGATGCGGAAAATAATTTTGCCATTCAATTTCACTTAAATTTAAAGTGGTTAAATTTTTAATGACGCTCTGTCAGTGACAGAAATATTATTTATTATTTAGCTTTATTTACGAGACTTTTCGAGTATGAATATGACATTAAATCTGGTTTTGAAAGTTGGTGCACAGGTAAAAAGTGAGGTTACGGGAAGCCACTGGATTCAATATTTTTCGAAGTGATTCCGAACGTTTCTGAAGTGATTTAGTTATTTTAGTAGTGATTCCAGTTTTCTTTTAAGTGATTCAGTACTTTCCGAAGTACAGTACCCGTTCGATGTTGGCAACAACACCAAAACCGTTCTTTTTTGGTATGGGGTTCGATTTTGGCACCGTATCAAACGGATTTAGAAAATTATGTTTTTTTGCTCCTTGTGATTAAATTTTTAATAAAATAATAATAATTAATAACGTCTATGCCAAAAAGATGGTCCAAAATCAACGAAATCATAAATGATATTTAAAAAAAAACGTTCGATGAGGTTTGAACTTGTGACTTAGGCGTGAGAGGTATCGATGTTAACCACTACGCTGGGGCCGTCCTCGCAATGAAAAATTTGTCAAAATGTTATGAGATAGCATATAGCATTATGCATAAAATGTTAGAGAGATAGTTCAATGATTTCCCGGTTCTTCCATCGACTTTCTGAGTTTTTCCGGGTTTTCCGGGTTAAACATGAAATTATTCGGTGATTTTAATAGCCCTCAGGCGGTATAGAGCTTATGTCAGCAAAACAAAATTAAATATAATATACTAGGATTGGCATCATTGAAGCGTGACATTAGTAAGCAATCGCAAATATTCGAAGGTTATTGAAATCAAACGCATAAACCATACCTTGAAATGGCTCCCTATCATCCACGGGATTAATCCATCTATGAGGAGGCCTAAATCCACGCATTCTATCGAGTTTTCCGAATCGCTGAGATACAATACCAAGTCTTCTGCAAGTTGTGCTTTAACTCGCATATCTGCTTTTGCCATCTGTGTGATGAACCCATCTATATCTGTTGGTTTGTGGTACGCCATCCTTATTTACACTGAGCCGTGCAATTGTCAATTTAAAAGGGCTTTGACTTCGAGATTTTTTGGAATGTTTGTTTTTTCGATGTATACTTAACGTTTGTTTTGATTATACTGCTATGTTCGTCTTTAGCATTTATTACTATGTTCGTCTTTTTTATAAATAAACACTTTTCACTATCAGCAACTCCGTAGATAATACATTGTTTTTATCCACATAAGATATTAGCAGGCTGATGAACCTTATGATCCAATCTTCATTTCATTCCATATTAACAGTCACTGTTAAAGAAATACAAAATAAAATAATTTTGATTAATAAAATAAACTATATCCATTAGAAAACATTAGATACAGAGATGTTTTTTTTTTGTTTTTTGTAGGCGTGTTGTGAGACAAAAAAAAAGTGGCGAATGATCTAATCATCGGGATGTGTAAATAAATATTTACATGTTGATTACGCACCGTACGAAATATTATGCTTGTATTAGTATTGTTTTTGTATGCTTTTGCATGGGCTTAATGTGTGCGTTTCTATAATGGACCAAAAATTTTCACGTATGACAATGCCCGATGTTACATATTTCTCTGGATAAAAGCTATAAAAAACATTCTTCAGCATAAAACGACATTTAACTGCAAACAGTATTCAGAAACTGAATTTTCCAACGCGTATAACTCATATCATGACCATCGTAGCTTTTCTAATGACAATATTGAGATTCATACCTGCAGCACATCTTGAATGAGTACCGTTAGTCGCGTCTCAATTGTTTTACGTTTTTCTTCTCTAAATAGGAAATATTACCCTGTCAATCACATAGTTTACACTGTGGAAGTTTAGGAACACTAAAAAACACTTATTATATCGCCGATTCGTCATCCATTTTGAATGGTTCACTTTTTCCAGAAACCAAATGCACTTAGAAAAAAAAAGCAAAAAAAAAAGAAGAATCCGAACCTACGCTAAAGTACGCCTCATTTTACGTACTTTCATACGGCTTTGATTAAAAAAAATCCTCTCAACTGTTACACTCTATGATCCGAGTAAAGAATAAAAGCACTTAAAGCACTTATTTACAGAATAATTCAATGGATTCGAACAATTTTAGGACGACCCATAATATTAATCGCGTACGACAGCAAATTGATGTGATTACTAGAGCAGCGCAGCACAGCAACAACAACTGACATTCGAACAAGGGGTAAGTGAAGCAAGGAGAACGTTAAAAACAACTGTAATTTTACGGTGTGTGTCTCTGCTGTGATAAAAGCTCGCGTAAGATTTGAGAAGAGCCTATCAATTTTGTAAACATTTTTTGTTTCGTTTTTTATACATCATCTGAAAGAGCGTTTTCGGAGCACAGTGATTTTTTCCGAACCCACACACTTTCATCTCGATTTTTAAATCAAGATTTAAATCAAAATAATAACTTCACTGTTTGACACTGAACACCGATTTTCCGACATGTTATAATTGTGACAATAGAAATTCGTTTTCTGAGCACAACGATATTTTTATTAATCCCGTACACTAATAAAATGCCACACATTTTTATTGACGAATTTCCATGTGAAATTCCACATAAATAGAATCCACCCAGAGGCACACATGAAATTTATGAGTCAAATGAATAATATGTGTGGTTACACATGGCTTTTATGTATACACATATTAAGTATGTGTCAACACATAGATATCATTTGTTGATCACTTTGCAAAAATTCATGTGTGGGACACATAAAAACAATCTTTGAAATTTTATCAGTGTAGACATTCATCTCGATTTTTAATTAAAGATTTAAATTTTTGATCGTTGACACTAAATATATTCGTTGACAGCTCGCTCCCATACAAAGTCCCTCCAAGGGGCGTTATCGCTCTTATTTAAAATTGTTCCAGTGTTCGAAAATTGATGAAATTTTGGAGTTCGGTTCCATTTTTGATGCAGATAACGAATATGTATTTACCTCACTCCCAACACACTGAACCAATCAGACATATTATGAAGTATGATTAATGTCGGATTAATCGATTCGTAATGAATAATAACAGGCGCTAGCAAATATCATACGATTTCACCCACTTCCGAGGGAAACTAAAAACCTCTCGCTGAGCCTCTCGCACGTCGTGCTCGTACGGCTCGTACCTCTTATACCAGACCAATGACATTTATATAAGGTCTGAGCCAAAGGGTTTATTGCTGGTAGTGAATTGAGCAAATGTATAGTGGTGTTCATATTTCATTGCAATGTTTATCTTTTTTCAGCTGTTGGCAGAGACGTATTTCTATCTGTTCTGTTCTACGTTCAGCAATGTTTAAAATATTTTTGCTTCGAACACCAGCAAGCTGCCTGGTGGCTCAGACCTTCTATAAACGTCATTGATACCAGACTGCATATGTAACAAAAGGATTAATGTTTATCCTGTTGCACACATGAGATAAAATGGCTGACGATTTCTCTAATTGCACAGAACAGAAATAACACTTCGGATCCAAACGTGGCTCCATTTATTTATGTGAACCTAGCGGTAGAAGGCCAGCTTTACATGCACAGCAAAAAAAAATGTAATATCGATCAACGTAATTCAAGCTGATGTATGAAATAATGATGTAATAGCAAAAAGCAGATACAATATTACATCAATGGATGTAATTTTGTTCGCAAAATCGATGTACATCGTACAATGTGATATTACACAACCGATGGATTGACCTGGTTGCAGCAGTTTCGATGTAATATTCAACAACTTTTTTTGCTGTGTGTAGTTTATATGGACAGCATGCTTTAATGTTGTGCGTGCCCATAGAAAACCCGTGTGAACCGCATCCACAAGCATCGCTTGATGATCAAAAATGTTGTCCCACTTTTGGATACACTGATTCGTTTTCGTAAGCGTATTTTGGTTCGCGTGTAATAGACGAGTGCACGGATGCATTTGAGTTCACTCACTCGACAAAAAGTGACACAACAGCAGGGCCCTGTTTACTAAAAATGAACACATATATGTTCATTTTTAGTAAACAGGGCCCCGCTGTTGTGTCACTTTTTGTCGAGTGAGTGAACTCAAATCCATCCGTGCACTCGTCTATGGGCTTTGGAAAGTTTGTTTACACATGCTTTTGTGCCGTTATCAAATGTTACGCCTGATATATAACAAAACGATGTCAAACTCATTTTGACAAATCTACTTTCATACATTTTTTAGGGTAGTCAGAGGAAAATAATAAACAACTTACACGGCGTTGCTCCCGCTAGTGTGCGTGCGTTAAACGTCACTAATCTGTATATCTACACGGTAAAAAGTTATCACATCTAATCAAAATGATCTTGCACTCGACTCAGTCTGTTATGCGGTACTACGAATCGAAGCGATTTATCATTGATTTTCAAGTTATTTGCGTTTTGAAACAAAGTGATTTGTCGTTGAAAAATATGTACCGTATAAAACCTTTAAATCAAAATGATTATCCACCAGTGTTTTCATCCATTGAATTTGATTAGTTTTGCTTTTGGAAGCAAATGTCAAAAACGCAGATGACAAACATTACTCGTGAAGATGGCAAGTCAACAACAAATGAAGTCAAGTGAGAGAAGCGATAATTCTCCCCCTCCGTCCGAAATACTTTGCGTTCTAGAGCGTGAGTAATACGAAATTGTTGCTGTTTTCAATAAAAGTGTTTTTTTCAGAAAAGTTTGATTGTCAAACTTATCAAATTTATTACTCAATGTCTCGTTTTGCTTCCACTAAAAGCCTTGCGATATTTTACAATATCACTTGGAAACATGTGATCTAGGTATTAATAACAATCCATACGAAACTTACGATTTTAAATTGGTTCACTACTTAACTACCCAAGTAACCAGTAAGCATTAGAACAATGCTCTAATTTAGCACTATATTCACATATAAAACAGTGATTAAATGCTTATCATGCAGTATATACTTATAAAGGGCTGATATAAAGCTAAAAAGGCGAAATAGCGGGCTAATAAAATGCTACGATGGCAGCCTCAAATAAGCATTACTAATGCTGATCTAGGGTATCTTATAAAACGTCAAATTTTTTTACCGCGCTCTATTTTTAGAAATTTTTATATAAATTTAATTTATTTTCATCGACCCAAACTGAATGAAAACAAAAAAGAAATCGGGACTATAATCTGTCAGGGAATTATCCAGGGAAGCTGTCTGAGAATTGCCTTCATCAGTCTCCTCGTCTGCAGAATTTGTTGGACGTTCCGGAACCGCACAAACAAATAATGCTGATTCTGATCCCAGTTCATTCGGTTGCTCAATTTCCGTAGCATTGGGAACATCAGAAACGTTTATATTACGATACACATGTACTTTTCGTCTGAAATGTCCACTTTTTAACGTTTTTTTTCCACTTCTGAGGACCGTCCATGTTATTTTGATTTTATAAAGTATTTTTGATGATCAACACATAACTTTTTAGCCCTTCTAAACTTTAATCAAGCCCTTTATAAGCACTCAAGAAAGTTTTAATGCTAGGCTTTCTAAATGCATGTAAGCACTAAATCATTGCACTATATGCGCATACTAAGCTTTCTGTAATGCTTATTTTTATTAATGCTTCTGTGCACTAGCAATGCTAATATGAGGCTCATATGCATTAAAAATGCTAATATACGGCTTTTTGGCATTAGGAATGCTGAATTAGTGCCAATATAGAGCTATGGCTTAATGCTTATGGTTACTTGGGTAGCCTATTGGTCCCAAGCAAACCATTAACGTACCCCATTCTAGTCGAAATTCTAGTACTACGCAATGTTTGTTTTGATTCGCTATGAAAGTTTGACAGATACAATGAGGGGTTATTGGTTTTTCTTATGTTTCGAGGGGTGAATCGATTAGCTTGGGACCAAAGAGAGTACCATAGCTGAGCCAAAAAGTTGAGCACGTTATTTCGAGACCTTCTAGTCTTAGAGTTACCTATGGTATTAATATGATATGATCATATTTTGAATAACATGTAACAAGGCTTGCAGTATGAACAAGGCTATATATTTATTTAAACCCATTTTCAGCAAAAATTTAATCCAAGGATAAATTTTTTTAACCAAAGTGACACCGAGGAGTGCTAATAAGGTGATTTTTTGCAAATGTAATCGTACTTATTTAAAATAGTTCCAGTGTACCAAAATTGATGAAATTTTGAGTTTGGGTTCCATTTTTAATGCAGATTACGAATATGCATTTACCTCAATACCCTTAAAGAACCCAATTCGAGAACTAATCAAGCAAATGGAACCAAATTTGGCATGTGGAGGTCATACGGGGTAGCCCCTTAGATAAAGGAGGGAGGGGGGGCTACATACAATATAGCATGCTTTTTATTAATTGGCGCATAAACTCAAGCTAATATTGAATCCCGAGCAAGGCCGGGCACACTCAGCTAGTGTTATATATAACATATACAGATTAATGACCTTTAACGCACGCACACTAACGGGAGCAACGCCGTGTAAGGACAATGACGTTTATATAAGGTCTGGGCCAAAGGGCTTATTGGTGTTAGTGAAATGTGCAAATGTTTAGTGGTGTTCGTATTTTATTGCAATGTTTATCTTTTTACACGAAACAGCTGTTGGCAGTGACGTATTTCTATCTGTTCTCAGTATGTTGGCAGTGACGTATTTCTATCTGTTCGGAGATGTTCAGGAATGTTTACAACATTTTTACTTCTAACACCAGCAAGCTGCCTGTTGGCCCAGACCTTATATGAATATCATTGGTGTAAGGATGAGTTCAATAAATCGTACATGTCGATTT